TTGCAAATCTTAAATATCCTGAATATATTCAAAACCTCTGATTTCTTTTTGTCTCCATTCCTTATCAATGAATAAAAGATTTGTTAACTAATTTTTACGACTATTCTATTTTATTTCATTCAGTTATTTACATTTTGAAGTTTAGATTGGTAATTTGTTGTCAGTCGAGTTGGTCATTTCTAAATGTACTGATCTTCACTGACCAACGCAAACATCGTGATATGAAGAGTATGTAGTAAAAGAAGGAAAGGTGTTGTAAACTTTTATAGAATACAGATCGTCGACTTATAAAAAAATCGATAAAATGTACTTTAACTCATCTGCCATGTTATCACTTCTATAAAGACAAAGCATTTTCATAGTATATTTAAAAGTACAAGAAAGATGGAGGATGTAAAAGCTTTGTAGCGATGATTTTTAAATCATAAACATTTGATTTGGAAGATTGACTCATTTTGATTAAACCATAGCAGTTATATTTGACAATATAACTGTTTTTAGCATGTTACATTGTTTTCGGCTTATTTTCTATGATTATAGTTAAACATGATTTGAGACGTCATGAAAAATGTAGAATATTAAAATAAAAATTATTCTTTATTCAAATTACATGAGACGTCGATAATTTGAAAATATTTGTTTTAAAAAGCCTCAAATATCCATACCTCTTACAAAAAGATTTAAATTCAGCCTTGTTGTGGGTCATTTTTGTATCTTTGATTGTAAACTATTTATTAAAAACAATATTGCAAACGCTGTGAACAAATACTCCACTATCTGAGTGAAGATCCCCGTTTCAATATGATCTGTTTTCAAATACAAGAGGTCAAAATATTTGAAAATCCAACACTTTCAAAATTTAATAATAACGTTCTGAAACAGCAAATTTTAGTAGCACAATATCATACCACTACCAAAGTAGCCTTGGGGACTAACAGTCCTACAGCAAAGTTATCGAACCAATGGTAGCATTAACATTTAATTTGGAAGAATGACTCATACCTTATCAAACTATAACAATTATATTTGGAAATATTACTGTCTTTACCATATTATATTGTTTTTGGTTAATTTTCTGTGATTGTAGATCAAAATAAATACGCCTGAAAAATTTATAATATCAAAATTAGAATTATTTCTTATTCAAAATACACGGGACTCCAAAATAACAGTATAAAAAGATGCCTCAGATTAATTTTTTGTAGTTATCATTCATATTGCAATTCTTAAATATCCCGACTTGATTCAAAACCTCTGATTTCTTTTTCGTCTCCAGTAGTTACAAAAGATAAAAGATTTGTTTACACTTTTTACAAATATTCTCATATATTTCATTCAGTCAGTAAATTTAAAAGTACAAGGCAGATGTCTGATGTAATAGCTTTGTAGCGATAATTTTAAATCATAAGCATTTAATTTGGAAGATTGACTCATAACTAATTAAACTATAGCAGTTATATTTGACAATATTACATTTTTTACCACGTTACATTTCTTTCGACTAATTTTCTGAGATTACAGTTAAACATGTGGAATACTGAAGTTCGAACTGTTTATTTTTCAAAATACATGAAACTCCGATAATTTGAAAATATCTGTTTCAAAAAAGCATCAAATTTTCTTACCTCTTACACCAAAATAGTAAATTAACAAACATACCGAACTCCAAAAAAAATTTAAAACGGATAGTCCTTTGTCAAATGGCAAAATCAAAAGCTCAAACACATCAAACGAATGGAAAACAACTGTCGTATTCGTGACTTGGTACAGGCATTTCCTTGTGTAGAAAATGGTGGTACAAGGGATTTAAATTCAGCCTTTATGTCGGTCATTTTTGTATCTTTATGGTACAATGTGGTAGTAAACTATGTATTGAAAACAATATTGCAAACGCTGTGAACAAATACTTCATGCTGAGTGACGATCCCCGTTTCAATATGATCTGTTTTCAAATACTGGAGCCCATGGCCAAATATATATGAAAATCCAATACTTTCAAAATTAAAAATAATGAATTTTAAACCCAAAAGGACAAACAGTATAGCTTAAACCAGACGAGGAATCAATGCTTTGATTTCGAGAGATATATTCCTGAATTCAAAATAACTTCAAAAATTTAGAAACAGCAAATTTTAATACCACAATATCCGTATTTTCATGCCAGTACCCTTAGGGACTAACAGTCCACTAGCAAAGTTATCGAATTAGTGGTAGCATTAACATTAACAGAACCAATATTTCTGCACCAAATGCGCATCTCGACAATAAATATCTCTTCACTGATGCTCGACGCCAAAATATTTGAAAATCCAATACTTTCAAAATTCAAAATAATGAATTATAAACCCAAAAGCACAAATAGTATAGCTTAAACCAGACAAGGAATCAATGCTTCGAATCAGGGAGATATATTCTTGAATTTAAAATAACTTCAAAAATTTTGAAACAGCAAATTTTCAAAACACAATATCCGTATTTTCATACCAGTACCAAAGTACCCTCTGGGACTAACAATCCTCAAAAAAGTTATCGAACCAGTGGTAGCATGAACATTAACGGTACTAATATTTCTGCATCAAATGCGCATTTCGACCATTAATGTCTCTTCATTGATGCTCGAGGCAAAAATATTTCAAAATCCAAAACTAATAAAGTGTTGTAAAATCATTCATTTGCAAATAAAGTTGAGGTATACTTTAATAGGAATAAAGATCATCGACTGATGGGAAAACCGATAGATTGTATAATCAATTATCTGCTATTTTAAACTTTCTATAAAGACAAAGCTTTTATCTCAGTAAATTTAGAAAGTACAAAGAAGATGTCTAATGTAACAGCTTTGTAGCAATAATTTTAAATCATTAAAATTTAATTTGGAAGAATGACTCGTACCTTATTAAACTATAGCAGTTATTTTTTAAAATATTACTGTTTTTACCATCTTACCATATTATTTTTGATAAAATTTCTGTGATTGTAAATCAAAATTAGTTTAAGACGGCCTGAAATATTTATAATATCAAAGTTAGTATTATTCCCTATTAAAATACACGGAACTCCAAAAATAACTGTATAAAAAGATGCCTCAGATAATTATTCTTGTAGTTATTTTTCATATTGCAAATCTTAAATATCCTGACTTGATTCAAAACCACTGATTTCTTCTTTTGTTTTCGGTCGTTACAATGGATAGAAAATTTGTTTACACGTTTTACAACTATTCTATTTTATTGTATTCACTCAGTAAATTTAAAAGTACAAGGCAGATGTCTGATGTAATAGCTTTGTAGAGATAATTTTAAATCATAAGCATTTGATTTGGATGATTGACTCAAAACTAATTAAACTATAGCGGTTATATTTGACAATATAACTGTTTTTACCATGTAACAGTACTTTCGACTAATTTTCTGTGATTACAATTAAACATGATTTAAGACGTAACGAAAAATGTGGAATTCTAAAGTTTGAAGTGTTTATTCTTAAAATTACATCAAACTCCGGTGATTTAAAAATATCTGTTTTAACAAAGCCTCAAATGTCCTAACCTTTTACAAAAAAAAAGAAAATAACAAAAATACCGAGCTCCAAGAAAAATTAAAAGCGGAAAGTCCTTTATCAAATGGCAAAATTAAAAAAATCAAACTCATTAAAGTGCCATATGAACGTAATTTTTCTTTTTTTTAAAAGAAATATTTAAAGAACTTATAAAAAAACGATTGAAAAACACCCGATCGAAAAATGTTAAGTAATAAGCATGTTATATCCCATCAAACATTCCCATCGCACCTGTCTGCGATAAGTCCCAAGTGCCAGTCTGAATAACTTCCGGTTTTCTAAGACAAAATGCGTGACGTCACATTATGAACAAAGAATATAAACAACAATGGCATCTGCATCTGTATCAACATCAATACGATAACCACGACAGTTCTGAAAGTGAATCTAATGAATTGTCTCTGTCCTGTGGTTCATTGGAATTCGAAATGGGGGAAGATGGGAGCTCAGGTTCGGATGATGAGATAGTAGAAGCTACTGGTGCCATGGCAGGGGCGCAGATTAACCCGTATCAGTTTGAACCATACAACTCAAATTCTGACGAGTCTGAACCAGAAGACGGAGAAGATGAAGACAGATTGACAGACAATTCTTGGTAATTGATTAATGATAAATATAATTATACACTCATACGCGTTAGCGGGGTAAAAGGGATAAATATAAACTAAAATAATGCAAGAAAAGGGAGTGGGGTACCTACCAGTTCTGTGCCTATGCCAGCCGCCTAACATTAAACTTAAACTCCAAAAATATAAAAAATGAACATATTTCATTGATTTTTTTTGTCACATTTTTCTCAGGAACTACTAGGGGCTACCTGAAATTCAAAATCAAGCTTCATATGTGCATGCTTTACTGTTTGATTCTTTTTCTGATACATCACTGAACATTCAACAAGTTTCTGTCTACTGTTTATTATACTTATCAAAAGGCCCAAAACAGGCATATTAATAACAACAAATACAGAAATTCAATGTAACTACTTCAATTCACCCTCTCAGACATCTCTCATACTATTACTGAGTGCAAATCATTGATCAAAGCACAAACATACAGCATTATCACATGAAGACAAGCAATAGCTAACATTTAATATATTTTTGTGGTTTCTTCTTTCAAACATATAAATAGAACTCATTACTTTATTATTGGGAACCCAAATGTATCTACAACTCTTTTCATAACAAATGAATCTTTCTTTGAATGTTCAAATATAATGTATAAATCAATCAAACTGAAAATATAAAGTTCATGTTTTTGTATCTTGGATATTTTTATTTTGCCCTAAAATATCTAATAGAATATAAAAAAAAAATCTGTTGCTTTCTTCAAGGTGTAATTGTGGACATTGTGCAGTTATGCTGTCAGCTAGAGAGTGTGTCTGTTGTTGGGAAGTTTAACAAATTGTTGACGTAAAAAACGAAAACCCTGACACAGCTTGAATAACAGACCATCCAGGGTTTCATCCAGTGTGCCTTGATATACATGTATTAAAAGTTGCCTATTACCAGTACAGACAACAATATGGAGAGCACCCTGATCATGGAAATGAGTAAGGAATTCAGTCATGTATTTCAACATTGAAATTTGTATTTGATTTTTTTTTTAAATCTATTTTCATACAAAAAATACGTTTTCATATCGTGAGTCAATGCTCAGTGTTGAAGGCTGTACTGCAAGCATAACCTATAATTGCTGAAATTTATTATGTTAAGTCTTGGCTAGTGTGCTTTTGATGGCAAGCGTACCATGTGGTCTCATTGGAAAACGCAACGCTTCCTCTTTTTATACATGGTTACTTTATTTACATTGCAGATATTTTGTATTTAAACAGTTTGTCTCAATGGCAATCATGCCATATTTTTTTACTTGTTATCGCAAAAACTCAGAACAAGTACAAATTTGGGTAGCGTCACTTTTACCGTTTTTCAGTTATGTACCTTTATAACTTTATATCATATGCAAGCGGGGGCAGGGCATTATATTTGTCCATGGTCATATTCCCCATTTATTATTTAAAAGTAAATATACATAAAAATGTATGAACATATAAAATTTGGCAACTGATCTTGTCCTAAATATACTTGAAATATTTGCTGCTGGATATTATCAAAAGAAGATATTTTATTATTTCAGAAGAAATCGTTATACGGCATATAGACAATTTGTACGGTGGTGTTGGCATTTCCTAGGGAAAGAGGTCCGTGTGGTTATTCCGTCTCGTGTGGTACTCAAGATCCGGACTGCCTTCCCTGATCTGCACCAGAACTACACTGGTTTTCATGAGGCTGACAGCGATTGAATCTAGCAAGAAGGCTTTGTATGGCTTGTTTTTTGTCTGGTCTCTCATACTGGCTACAAAGTGGAGGTGGAACGTCTACCAGTAGTTGAATACCTTCCTTGTTCATGTGTGAGACTTTCGCAATGTTGAAAACTGTCGTCATCAGACACTCTACATATTCTGAAAAAAGAAAAGAGCTTGGAAGAAGTGACATTACTCAATCTTTTAATTGGGGTTTTGCTGTAAGACCAAAATCATTAACAAACAATGAACTACTGTTACAAATGTAACTATTGGACCTATATTAATTAAACATAACAATTTCATTCTCTCGTTTTATTACATGTGGTTAAATGGTGTATTAGTGTCCTAACTATAGGAAGTTATAAAGGTATATATAGTAAATACAAATGATTTAGACCTATTACATGTATTTAAGTTTGAGTGACACTGTAGTCACTTATGAAAACCCATTTTTTATTCACCTGACCCAAAGGGTCAATTGAGCTTTTTCATCACTTGGCGTTCATCATCGTTGTCCGTTAACTCTTACAAAAATCTCCTCTGAATCTACTGGCCTAAATAATGCTTATTTTAAATATTGTATCTGATGATCCTGCCCACCAACCGAGATGGCCGCCAAGGCTAAAATAGAACATAGGGGTTTACGGTTTATTTAGAAGTCTATGTGAAAATTGTAAAAAACAATCTCAAATGGTCACAACATGAAAACTTATTAAAATAATGATAAGGGGTCTTAAGTAAATATTGTAAGACTACAATAGGATGACTTATTTTTTTTTCAAGGGCAATTTCTTCAGAGGGGCGGGTTGCTAATAATTTCTGCTCGATAGTTTAGCCTCTAGTTTAAATGCTTACCATATGTGGGATCGACTGGGATTTTTCTTACAGTGTGCTCTCCTTTTTTGTATTTAGCATACACAATCCTGTATCTTGCTTTACCATCCTGTGTGTAAGCATGGTCCCGATTGCTGTTTTCATTAAAATGCATTGCTGCAAGCCATTGCCTTGATGGAAAAAAATAACAAATTATTTTGAATTAAATTGCACTGTTAAGTATTAAGTTTCATTAGATATTTTCACAATTTAACCATTTCATTTATGTTAGCTATAGTCTATATATAGTTAAATGTTCCATGGAAAAGAGAGATATGAAAAATAAAAAATATCATATACAACAAATATTAATACATTTTCACAATATCCATTACCAATTAAAGATTTACCTAGAAAGCATTCCATGGAATGAAAAACCAATCATTTTAGAAGCAAAATGATTATCCACAGAATGAAATCCCTCAAGTTCTGATGTTTGTTGTCCAGATGACAGCATGGGAATATCTTTCGTCATCTGTTTGCTGTTGATTATATCTTGCAGTTTTTCATAAACTTTAGAACCTGAAAATTAATGATACTGAGGTATAGTTTTCAATTCTTTAAAGTAAATTTAATTAATTTGAAGAAAGTTATGTAAAAGAAGAATACTATTAAGAAAATATAAGGGGAACGGCTGAAAAAATGCATCTGCAACTGTTTTTCCCAAGTTTTTCTGTAAAATATACTCCTAAATCTTTAGTGTTCCTTTTCTTATAAAATATATTTAATTACATGTATTACTCATATAGGTTATATTGATTATTATAAGTTGTAAATTAAATACCCTCTCAAAAGACAATCCAAGTTACAAATTTGAAATGAAAATAGATGTAAAATGTTTACACGGACAAGACCAACCTCCAGTATGTTAAATAAAAAATTAATCTTTGAGTTATGAAGGTTCGACTGTACATTTACCTGGTTTTAACCACCTTTTGTGTCTTTCTCTTCCCTCCAGTTCATCATGTTGACATGAGGGGAACAGTGTGCTATGTCCATCATGAACGTTGAGTATACGGTTGGAAATAGATTGCCACTTTGCTAATACCAAGTCTTCATTTAGGTTTGGAGACGAAGCAGCGGTCCAGTAAAGATGATTTACCATGCTCTTGGTCCATGGAGACACATCAGAGCAATCCTTTTCCTTTGATAATGCAAACAGTTTTTTCTTCATTCCTGGAATTCAAAAAATTGCAGATTTTATAACACGGTTAATGCTTGCTAGTAAATTATCATTATTTTATCAAAAGGTCACATTTGTTTTACATAACAGTGAGACAACATTTAACCAGAAACTAAAGAAGTTGTCAACTGCCACTCAGTGTAAACCTTCAACAGTGAGCAAAACCCATACTATGCCATTTTGTTTAACCATTTATGTTTCAATGTCAAAGTATCATTCAATGAGTTCATCTTTTAGTGATTTTTTTATTTGAAAGTGTCAATGAAAACATTAAACATCAATTGTTTTTACCTTTAGCTACATGCCATACATCAAATGCATGCGTGGTATCTTCCATATTCTCTCTAACCCATTTTTTAATTTGGACATGTCTATCTGTCACCAGAGTTTTTGTCTTGATGTTATGGTGCTTACAAAATTCCACACTCCTCTGAAGCCCTGTTTCCCATATGGCAGCTGTTTTTGACTTCATTGCTCTGAAAGGAAAAATCAATTCAAATATATATATAAATTTCCAATAAAAAAAGAATACCTAAAAATAAAAAGTCATAAATATGCGTTAACCTACTTACCAAAAATTTGAAAGTAAATACATGTACAAGGCATTTAAATATTTTATGCAAAGATTATATATAAATTCTAACCTGTACAAGTTGAATTTCAACAACTCTAAGCTCTACCATCTCCTCCAAGTGTCACAGATCTTTGTTGCTGCTGAATATCACTGGCATAATCATTCTGGTAATTGTGCCATACATATCCTATTGCAGGGTACAAGTAAAACTTCTGGTGGTTCATATAAGAGGACAAGCTGATTTCAGAAATTTTCATAAATTTCAAGTTCCTCAATGCCTTACTTGGTACCGATCCAGAAAACAAAATTCCTGCTGATATTGACAAATTTCCGGCTTGTTTGTTTCCAACAAAAGGCTGACTGAACCAGTATCGAGCATACAAACACATTTTACATTCTTGTTTAATTTTCACCATAGAGCCATTAGTGTATAGTAGTTTTCCCACAGTTTCAGCCATACATTTTGTGCATGTTGTGAATAGTTCCATTAAATGTGATTGGAAAACAATAAATTTGGTGTCTTCTTGTACATGTACATGCATGTTTCTGGAAATAAATTTTTTTTAAATAATGAATTTTAAAAAAAATCTTTGTGAACAGATCTATTTATGAAAAACTCTTAATATTGTGAAATTAAATTGAAATTCAAAGTCAAACAGGAGGACAGTGAAACCTGCCTAAAAATTCTTTAAGACAAAATTTCATTTACTCAGTACATGTATTATAATTTTTCTTTTTTAAACTTGGTAATGCTGTTGAACAGTTATAAACTTGTGTTTTATGTTGTTTGACAGAACTGTTTGTCTAGTTGTTGTTTATCATTTTTTTCCATGGCTTTGTCAGTTTGTTTTTACAAGTGTGTGAGTTCTGTATATTGTCCCTCTGGTTTCTTTCAACTTACTTTAGAATCTGAAAAAGTGGATGAGTTGCAATATTTATAAAAAAGAAGTTGTGGTATGATTGCCAATGAGACAACTCTCCACAAGAGACCAAATGACACACAAATTAACAGCTATAGGTCACCAATCGGCCTTCAATAATGAGCAAAGCCCATTTAGTATTGTGCCTAATTTCCTGCTCATCATTATCATCTGAAGAAGGTGAAAGAGGTTGGCAGCTAGGATCTGACTCCTGATCATCTTTGATCGGAGAGGATAATGGTTCATCAATGGTGGTGGCTGATGATCGAGCATGTTCTTTTGACTTTCTTGGCACAGTCAAGGGTTCTAAATTATCTGGTCGGACCAGTTGAAATGCATCACTCATCAATGGCTTCTGTGGATTAATTTCATTTGTACAATCTGTTTGCGTTCCTGAATAATAAACCATTATTAATATAAACCAAGACATTCAATAAACTCAGGTTTCTATAATAAAATTGCCTACAAAGTACTACTGCTTAGACTATAAAACCAATGTTTATTGAAAGATTGTCAAAGAATAATAATCACTGGTAATAGATTTATGAGATTCAACACCATTTGTTTGTTTTATATGCACATACATGTAACACAAATGAATTAATAAAATAACATAAAATAAATTAATAGTATAACCAGAGTGCACATGATGAAATTTCTACCATTTAACTAATAAACTCTTATTCTAGGTTTCAAAGAGAAATGAAAGTTACCAATTGTCATCATTTTCACTAGAGGTTTCTGATACGAGGCCTTCGTGGTCTTTGCATTAGTCTGGCAGTACTTTGATCTCTTTTTTTTTTTTTGGGTCTTTTGCAACCAAATGAAGCTGTTGTTGGTTTTGGATCATCAACTTCATATTCTACTACCTACAATTTTTGAATTTTATAAATATCATACTCTTATATAATTAATTGTACAGCAAATCAGATGCATAAGTCACTTTAAGATCATGGTTTTGTTTAGTGGTCCTAAACATTTCATTAAAACATCTTACAGCTGTTTTAATTTTTATAATACAGAAATCCATACATTTTGAATTTTTCAACTATCCCATAGAACAGAAAAGAGATAAAGAATGAAAATCCAACTTAACATCTTTAAATTTCAGTTACTACATGTATTTAGAAAATACATTTGTATGTACTCAATTAGTAATCTGGTAACCTACACGTAAGTAGTGTCAGTCATGACTAAGCTTATAACCAAAACTTCGTCTTATCTTAAGATAAAAAATATTAACAGTCACTTTGATACATATCTGGTATCAAAAAATATTAAGGTTTCATTACATTTTAATTAGATATTGCTTGATGGATATCAACACAAGTTATTCAATTTCAATAAAAAAAAATACATAATAACTAGCCTTCATAAATATTTATGCTGTATGGGCTTTGCTCATTGTTGAAGGCCGTAAGGTGATCTATAGCTGTTAATTTCTGTGTCATTTGGTCTCTTGTGGAGAGTTGTCTCATTGGCAATCATACCACATCTTCTTTTTATATTCAAAAATTTTATCCGATTATATTGAAATGAAATATACATGTATATCCTTATTTCTTTTAAATAAGATAAAGTAATGAAATTGAATTATTATTGCGTTTGCTTTTTTTCAATTTTCATATGGCAAATAAACATACCTCTTCGAAATCCATTGCATGGTTGTTTGGTTGATCTATATGTATGTCCTCAGCTGGTTCACTGACAGAAGTATTCTGATTGTCCTCAGCTGGCTCACTGACAGAAGTATTCTGATAGTGATCAGCAACTAACTGTTAAAGAAATATTTTAACATGTATAGTTATGAAAAAATGAAATATATTACACTACTAGTAGTGTAATGTTCTGGAAGTCTGTGCACTTCCTTATCTGTATTCTAAAAGAATTGTTTGTGCGAATATTTTATTCCCAATAACTAAATTGTTGAATTGTTATGTATGTGTATCAAGTTTAAGTTTGTACAGGTTTATTGTCAATGATCAGAGGAGGGGCAGGCCCACTTTAATAATATTTATATGGGATTTTTTTTTTTTTTTTTAAATTCACCGGGATTTTTGGTTTAAACTCAGCCTGGTCCCCCTTTTTAAACTGCTTATCGAACCAAAAAATGAAGCGCCCCGCCCCCCCCCCCCCCCCCCACTCATTAAAAGAAATCTGGATCCGCCACTGATGATTGCAAGGCTTATCCATTCTATGAATTAATATTGGATTATGAATATCAGTTTTACCATTAGTGGAGAATTCAAAAATTTCAAATTTAACATGGACAAATGATTTGAAAGTGTAGTTTACCCTTGCAGCTTCTCTTTTTGAACAGCCTCTTTTGATCTTCTTTGGAGGTGAACTTTGACAGGTTGATGTCTCTGAGGGTGATAACATCTCCAGACGTTGAAGTGTGTGTTTTGGAGTCGTCGGGATATTTTGCTCAGCTTCATTAGTCTTCTCCTTAACTTGCTTTACAATACTATGTACAGTAGGTGCAGCACCAACATTCAGCTTCGCCTTCTTCGGGCCCCTACCCATATGTTCAATCTCGAACCTATGCCTGAATGGGAAGTCATTAATGGTAAAGTGAACGGAACATAGCGCTGAAAACTCCGTTGGTCCATCCCAGTTGGCTCTCTTAAGTTTCACAAACCCTGTCCATTTTTTCCGAAGATTGGGGTCTTTTGAGAAGGAATGCAATGAAAACCCGTCCGCATTTGTGTTCCCACAATTAGCTGCTACATATCTCGTCTCACTGCGTCTGCCTGAACCTCCGCGATCTCCTCTCGACATTGTCGTAGATGAAACTTGTTTGTATATATTCTCGTTTGTTTATAGTCTTTTGCAATATCGGAAGTACATGTGTTCAGAATGTGACGTCAGACTTACTTTATCTCCGGAAATTGCCGATCGATAAAATCGCCTTAGGTGTGATTACGAATGTAAACCTCACCTGTGTGGAAATCTTTTTTGATACACGGAATTTTGAAATCGGGTTTTTTGCAATCGATTTCTAAATTTATTTGAAAGAAGTAAAATCATAAAAAAAATATTTCAACATTTAGACTGATATGGCATTTTAAACAAATGGAAAACAACTGTCATATTCGTGACTTGGTACAGGTATTTCCTTATGTAGAAAATGGTGGTACAAAGGATTCAAATTCAGCCTTGTTGTGGGTTATTTTTGTATTTTTATTGTAGTAAACTATGTATTGAAAACAATATCATGAATATTGCAAACGCTGTGAACAAATACTCCACTATCTGAGTGAAGATCCCCGTTTCAATATGTCATTGATTAATTTTCAAATACTATAGCTCAAGGCCAAAATATTTGAAAATCCAATACTTTCAAACTTTAAGATAATGAATTAAAGACCGAAAAGGACAAACTATAGCTTTAACCGGACAAGTACTTATTACTTTGAATAAGGGAGAAATATTCAAAAATTTTGTAACAGCAAATTTTAATAAGACAATATCTGTATACTGTTCTAGTGATACACTAAGTAAAGTAGTTAAGGTTGTTCGGATGTCAGGGCGGAATGTATACAGAACCAATTGAAATTTTAGATCATTACATTCCTTTCGAAATTATCATAAATTTATACCAAAATTTAGTACCTTAACTCAGAACAAGTTGTCACGGTAATGTCCTATTTCTTTCAATTCGCAAAGAATTTTGGAAGTAATTAAATGCATATGACTCGGAGACACACATACCAACACGACTTGTCTCGTCATCAACGTTCTGTCGTATGCAAATTAGATGAATAGAGCGTGCCGACCTCTGTGCAAATTTCAATATTTCCTCTGGCGTACATCTACCAATTTCGACAAATCAGGCAGTCAGATATTGAATCTAGATTAATTTCGACCTATCGCTCAGTCAACTATAATTTGAGTTTGTTCTTACATCATAAAATTGAGAATGGAAATGGGGAATGTGTCAAAGAGACAACCCGACCAAAGAGCAAAAAACAGCCGAAGGCCACCAATGGGTCTTCAACACAGCGAAAAAATCCCGCACCCGGAGACGGGCTTCAGCTGGCCCCCAAACGAAAATGTGTACTAGTTCAGTGAAAATGGACGTCATACTAAACTCCAAAACATATAAATGAACTTAAATTAAAAAACATACAAGACTAACAAAGGCTCCTGACTAGGGACAGGCGCAATTTTTAAAACAACTCTTTACTGCATATTGTACCAACCACCGATATATTTTTCCGACTGTTCATTTGATCTTGTAAAATCAATGTTTGTTCATATTAACAAAAAATGTTTATAATGTTATACTTGGTGAAGAATTTTATTCATGTACGGGACTTACAGTCCTGGCCATTTTAGTTGTGGCAAAGTGACACCTTGTGATCTGAGACCATACGTTCAAACGATTTCATACTTATATAATTAGTAGCATTGTTTGGCATTACGATACTGCCATTGAAACATTTTTGGCCTATTGTTACATAATGAAATTTCACTTACTTTACTCCTATGAGGCAATATGATTGAAGCTTTCATTACTAGAAATGTTATCTTAATCACGTGTAGATGACCTCGTTGAACGGCCATTTTGATTTGACAGTTTTTGGGGGCTTTTTGGACTTCATTCCTTCATTTTTGCTTATGTACCATGTCTATATAATTATATAGTATGTTTGTACCATTTTGTTTTTCCTTGTTGAAATAGTTATTTGTTTTATAGCGATTAAAATTGTTACACAATATTGACTGCTGTATCCCAATTATTGATTTTTATACCTATTATGTCTGTTTGTTTTTGCTCATGACACGTTGTTGTCAATATAACGGAATTATATATGACTTCCATACAAGTTAGAGGATTGGCTAGCTATAAAACCAGGTTTAATCAACCATTTTCTACATAAGGTAATGCCTGTACAAAGTCAAGAGTATGACAGTTGTTTTCCATTCGTTTGATGTGTTTGAGCTTTTGATATTGCCAGTTGATAAAGCACTTTCCGTTTTGAATTTTCCTTTTAGTTCGAAATTTTGTTATTTTACCTTTTGCACAAGGCCATGTTTTGACGTCTTTAAACGAAATAAGTTGGAGGTGAACTGAATGACATGCTAGGCTGTTAAAACAAGGTTAAATAACTGTGAATACTGTTTGATCGGTACTCTATTAAGTTTATCGTTTTGTTAGTTCTTTCCGTGTTTATTTATATTTATGTGCTGTAACCACTACGTCATAATTTAGGGGAGTATTGAGCGCACATAACCCTGGTCTGTTTCAAGCAAGAACAATATTATTCAGAGGATGACTTTAATAAGATTTGTTTTTCGCTTATATTTTTAGTATCAATCAGACTATTAATTTATCTTTTGAATTGCCTCAGATTCTGTCACGAAGACTTAGGGTAAATTTTAGATTTTCACATCATTGTCTCTTGGTTTTTAGTAAATGGTTGTCTGATAGACATTTTTACCTTATCTCATTATATTATATAGAGGGTAACATTTCTCTAAGAGAACATTTTTCGATAAACAATGGGCATTCCCATGGGAACCAAACGTACTCCTCTTCTTCTCGAATTGTTCCTTTATTCATATGAGGCTGACGTCATATGGGAACGTCTTTGGAAGAAGAAAAGAAGTTAGCAGTATCCCTTAACTTTACTTTCCGCTATATAAAGATGATATATATAAAAAAGAAGATGTGGTATGAGACAACTCATCACAAGAGACCAAATGACACAGAAATTAAGTGTTCTCTCACTGAATAATTAAAACATTGCGGAACGCAATTATCCCATTGAACTTGAGAAGAAGGACACAACAGATGAAATTAAGTCTGCCTCATATCTTGACTTACATCTACAAATTGGCAATGATTATCGGTTGAAAACAAAACTTAACGACAGATGATTTCAGCTTCTCAATTGTGAACTTTCCATTTTTATTTACCAATATTCCAGCAGTATATATCTCCCAGTTGGTACGATATTCCAGGGCTTGTATTTCCTGTCATGATTTCCTTGCTAGAGGGTTGCTGATTTTGCTGCTGTGAAACGTTAGTCTGTTCCTTGTCATGTCACGTCTAGACCATAGAAACGCTCTGCTCTATGAAGTGAATGCCAGTTTAGTAAATAAGTTACAGCGTGTACAGAATAAGGCAGCTAGACTCGTTACACGTACCAAGAAACACCATCATATTACACAGGTGCTTATGTCACTTCATTGGATCCCAGTGCAGTACCAAATACAACACAAACTGCTTTTATATACTTTCAAAATTCTAAATGGCAAAGCAAACTTATTAGCGCCTATCAACCATCAAGATCTGTTGTACGCACCAAAACTTACGATGAAAGACGTTTCGACAAAGCTACTGCGAGCCTCTGGAACAATCTTCCTAGTCATCTCAAACATGAACACTCCATCGAACGTTTTAAGAAAAATTTAAAAATACCTTATTTTAGACTCGCTTAAAGTGAGTACATTTAACTTCCTATAATGACAGTAACTTTTTATCTTTGTTCTTTCCGTTGTAGTATATGCCTTTTTAATAATTTTTGTAATTGTTCTTTCCGTTGTAGTATATGCCTTTTTAATAATTTTTGTAATTGTTCTGCTTCCTTTTTATATGTGTTAAAAATTTTAATTCATTATTATTGTATTGATGGGTTTAATGTAAAACACCTCTTTTAACTGCATTGATTGTTTTATGTTAAGCGCTTATAATTAGAGTAGTTTTAATAAGATAATGCGCTACATAAATATTGTAAATAATAAAAATAATAATAAGGAAGCTATTAATAGATATAAGAAGATGTGGTATGAGTGCCAATGAGACAACTCTCCATCCAAGTCACAATTTGTAAAAGTAAACCATTATATGTCAAAGTACGACCTTCAACACGGAGCCTTGGCTCATACCGAACAGCAAGCTATAAAGGGCCCCAAAATGACTAGTGTAAAACCATTCAAACAAGAAAACCAACGGTTTAATCTATTTAAAAAACGAGAAACACTTAGGAACCACATCAACAAACGACAACCACTGAACATCAGGTTCCTGACTTAGTGTCACAGATCAAGACGGATTTGTCCCAATTGTCGTAACTACAATCCCGTCCCCTTTTCCCCAAATATGATCTACTGAAAATATCACCGGGTGTTTACTTACATGAGAAACATGACGGGTGCCACATGTTGAGCAGGATCTGCTTACCCTTCCGGAGCACCTGAGATTTCCCCAGTTTTTGGCGGGTTTTGTGTTGCTCAGTCTTTAGTTTTCTATGTTGTGTTTTGTCTGAGGTTTTTTTTTGTCTGTATGTCTGTTTGGTCATTTTCTTTTTTAGCCAAGTCCTTATCAGTTATGATTTTCGACTTATGAGTTTGAATGTCCCTTTGATATCTTTCGCCACGCTTTTGTATCTAATAGAGATTTCCAATAAAATGACATACGTACCTAACTCGACGTACGCACGTAACAGGACCGGTTATTGCTAACCTATTAATTTTGTTAAATGCGTCATTCAAGTTTTAACTAAGTATTCCTAAACTATAAAACCCATTCAGGATAAATTTTATCAACATCAAGTATTTCTAAGATGATGAAAAACGAAAGAAATCATGATATTTATACATCACGTGATTATTGAGATTCCCGACAAAACTTCACTGTCATAAGACCACGTATATACACGTATCTTTACCTATCATACGATTGATTGGAGTTGTCTTTCATGGTTTTGACCATGACTTTGTTTTTCGATATACTCTGCTAATGAACCTTTTTATACTTATATACTTATTTTATGCATGCATCTCTTTGCTACATAATTTTTATAAATGTCCAAGATAAAGCCAATAGAGATCATAGAAGTATGTTTATCAAATGATCATGTCTCCTCATAATTAAAACAGTAAGAAAGCGATTGACTCGTCCGACTAAAACGAAGCACAAAAACAGAAATTACTAGTATTTCAAAATAAACTCCATGTACCGATCTTAGAGTATTCACAGCTACTGAACACTATCTTATAAACAACTACAACTAATAAATACAGAATAATTATGCAGTCTAGAATATTAATCAATTATTTTGTACTGTTACACCAGGCCCGTTAACATGTTTAACCCCGCCACATTATGTATGGATGTGAGTGTCAAGTAAGGAGCCTGTAATTCAGTGGTTATCATTTGTTGCTGTGCTTTCGTTCATTTTTTGTACATTAATTAGGCCGTTAGTTTTATCGTTTTTGTTGTTTTACATTTGTCATTTTGTGGCCTCTTATAGCTGACTATTCGGTATAGGCTTTGCTCATTGTTGAAGGTCGTACAGTGGCCTATAGTTGTTAATTTCTGTGTCATTTGGTCTCTTGTGAAGAGTTGTCTCATTGGTAATCATACTATATCTTCCTTTTTGTATTATCGCAAATTAAGTAAAAGAGTACATAAACACTCTAGAAAAGCAAGACCTTGTGTCATTTCAAAAGCACAGAGTGTCTGTAGGACCATTAGTGTTCATAACTGTATAGCAGATTATATGTAGTTTCTATAAAATGTAATGATAATTTATCAGTAAAAGATACATAATTATTAGTAAGTGGGATTATATATAACTAAATAAATGAATATTTATATTAAAAGAAACATCAGAAACAAGAATATGTGTACATTAGATTACACGCCAGTATCACATTTCCGTGTTAGGTGAGCTCTAAGTCCAGGAAAAAATCCAATTCAGTATGTAGTCTTAAACTTCTAAATCTCGTGCGAGATGTCTAATGTTCAAACATTGTTGTTTTTGAAACGTATTTATCAAAGTCAAACGACAATCATTTATTTTTTTTTGGTGCTATACAATTTGTGGTTATGGCCGAATCCAAGATATTTGAAAGAGGGCGTAGTTCCCGATAATTGAATTTGTACTGCCGAGCGAAGCAACGCGAAAAAATATTGGACGATTTCATACTAAACATTTGTATATAGATAACGTGGAAAATGTGAAATGTTCAAAATAACTTGGCAAATCGAAAGGGGGGAGTACGCCCTCTACCCCTGTATCTGCGAATGCACGTTTAGGTATACATGATCAAAACCTCGTCCCATGCATTATTATAGTTTAAGACTAAAAAGCACTTTTTGATAAATGTATCAATGATATGAATTTCTGCCCACGTCAAATTATCTTGAATTAAATTATAGAAAAATATTTTTTTTTAAAGTTAGTCGCGTACACCTTTTACATTCGGGTGTGTTGGAATCCACGTTTTAAACGTTAAAACTTATAAACACAAAAACAGAGATAACCTTCTCGCTTCGGATTTCATTATTTTAATATTTTCATGCTAAATATTTACTTGGTAGTTTTTTAAATTCATATGTTGTGAAGAACTGAAATATGGGTCAAGTGAAATGGCAAGAAATGATGGGTGTATTTGATTACAAGTTGCTAGCTTACTTATTCCATTAAAAATTTGTTTGTCAATAAAATCATTAAAAATTAAATAACAAAATATTTAAAGATTAAAAAAATTAGTTGGGGTTGATTTTTACATTAAGTCTATATCAGCAAAAAATGCGTGTTCAAAGAGCAAAATATGCATGCAGTGTATGCTCCCCTCCGTCATGCTTCGATGCAATAGGACGATATACGTTGAGTTAGGTCGGTTATGTCGAGTAAAGTCATTTTATTGGAAATCTCTAATAAAAGATTACATTTCGCTAAGTGAACATTTTATTGTATAGAGGATAACATTTCGCTGAGTGAACATTATTTTTAATAGAGGGTAACATTTAGCTAAGTGAACATTATATTTTATAGAGGGTAACATTTAGCTAAGTGAAGCAATATTGTTGTTTATTTTTATCATTAATAGTAATTAATTAACCAAATGTAGGAGCTATGAAAGATATTACCGACATACGCGTAGTGCGCACGAAATCGTATCATTATTTTACGTTATCATAAACATACGATTAGTGTTGTATCTTATGCTATATTTTGTAATATAAACTTTCGGACGATTGAGTTATCAATACTAGACATGTATCATTGACCACGTCCAAATTGTAAATTGAACTGTTGCATTATATGTTGATATACATATAGAATACATATAGTTGCTTATTAATTACATCTTTTGGACTCTGGTGGATAGTTGTTTCATTCGCAATTAACCACATCTTCTTATTTTTATATGTATTAGAGAATACTAGTAAGATATACTTTCACAGTCAATAAGTCCATAAAATTATTTAGAAGACCTGTCATCTTTATTCATACACTGAACTCTGCTTACTTAACAAATATAATTGATTTAAAGTTTTAAAAAATACATAAAGAGATCTATACTTGTCACATCTGGTAAAAGAAGATGACAACTTACTAGAAATAATCTTTATAAGCTTGCATTATGTGTGAAATTATATTTGGATAAGCATGGTGTCTAGGATAGGCTATAATAACAGGCATATGATGTTTTATTTGACGTTCTTCTTTTTTGTAGCTGCTGCAAGTAAGAAATTAATTCATTTCCTCATAATCAATTTATCATTTGTAAATAAAATAATTGAAATTTATCTATAAATCCTACTGAAAAATACGATAACTTTTCCAAACTTTTATGTGTTCTTCAAAACAGATATACTATTAAACTTAAAATACGAACCTATGTGTCCTTACTGCCCCCATTTGTTTGTTATGTTATATATGCATTGTGTATAATAATTCCCACAGATTTACAAATGTAAGTACCGTAAGTTGGTGTAGACTGTGGCATGAATACCACCCAGTTACACTTTTTAGATTTCTATTATCTATTTACTTTTCACCATATATCGATATTGTGACAGCAATAAATATTAAGATGTTCGTTTGTTTATTGATTAACACAAATGTAAGTATTCAGCTATAAGCTATATTTCTTTAAGTAATAATTTATTCATCATGTTTTACCGCCACATAATACATCTTGTATTCATTTTTTTTTTCGTCATACTATTAATTATCTCGGTGTTATCAGGGGTGTACAAAATTTTACACCGCTGTTGAAAATTCTGAGGAGCAGCCGAAGTGTATGCATTTTAAGCACCGGTGCAAAAATATAAAGAATTTATTTTGTATGAAGCAATCCTTTACTCATTTTTATACCGGGCTGTAAAATAAAAAAATGCTTATGAAAAACTTCCACTACAACATTTTTTCAACACCAAAGTTGGTGCGCATTGTCAGTAATACCTTTTTTAATGACGAATGAATTCTTCTTTTTCTTAATGTTCTTTTCATTTGATTAAATGTACTTTTGGATGCTTTCAAAAAACATTAACAACATAAACAGATTCATAATGACATGTTTGTAATGCTCATAACAGTTGGAAGTATAAACTGGAAATTTTCTACTTTTCCGTTTTTAGCGTTTAAAGATCATTATCTAATTACAAATCAGCACGCTTGGTTGTACTTTTCACTACTTTATCTTACAATAAAACTAGTCGATCACGTATCGATATGCGTGCATTCTTTATCAAACCCTAATTCAACAAAACATCCAGTCAGTGTATCGACTAGAATAAAACTGTTTCATTCTTCATCCTGCCTATGCAAGGTATATTAGTTCAATCTGTCAATACAAACTGGAGAAAGGCTGAAATATAAGTTTGCCTTTCAATAATGCTTAATATTGATTTTTTTCCGATATTGTACCTTTTCCATTTGGAATAAATGCACTAATATAAATAATACATGAAACAATATCTAGCCTTTGTTAGTCTTGAGTGTTATTTTTAATTTTGGTTCTTTATATGTTTCGGAGTTAAGTGTGGCGTCCGTTTCGCTGAACTAGTATACATTATTGTTTAGGGGCAAACTTTAGTTTGAAGTACTGCCCAAGAATTAAAAGCCTCCTGCCAAAAGGGATTTTGCACATGTGTTTTGCACATGTGTTTTTGGACCTACATTGTTGTACATAGAGCAGTTCATTTATTTTTATTCAGAATTAGCCAGTAACTTACAACAATTATTAGTTTGTTTAATGATTCTTCTTATCTAAGTTAATCTTAATAAGAGATAACCTATGTTGATATAATGGAAAAGAGAGTATATAGTATTTCAATTCATGACTCAAAATCACAAAGCAAACATTTGAAACTTAACAAACGTAAATTCATATACACATAATAAGTAAACACCAATGCATTTCAGGTCAGACCGAGTTTCCCTGCACATTTCCGTGTGATTGGATTAATAAGACGTTCTCGATGCATTATTACAGTCCTGTAGTAGGACATGCACTATTGACTACTTGGACTTTCAATGCCGATGGAACGACAGGGACATTGTTTTCCAAGGATATAGTGTGTTATCAAATATCGGAACAATTCCTTGTCGTCAGGTATTGATCAGCAGAATGCACAGTTTAGTTTTTGGCAACATATCTGTTATGTTCGGAAAAGGTTTTTGGGTTGTTTTTTTGTTTTTTTGTTTTTGTTTTTTGTTTTTGTTTTTTTTGTTTTTTTGTTTGTTTTTTTTCGGGGGGGGGGGGGGTGTTGTAACATTGTTTGTTTGTTTCTTGCAATCGGCTTATATCATTACAAATTTTATACAAAACTAAACCGGAAGGTTATTTAGGCCAGAACTTTCTTTTATTGATATACCGATATATAAAGAATGTCATTTCACTAAACAAATAATGGCTGTTGTCAACAAATTTATACACTTAACATTGTATACAGGATACCAGAATCAACCCTAAGTTAAATAAATACCTTGTCTCATAGCAAAAATTGAAATTGCCAGAGTGGAAACGAAACTTTACGAGAAATATGATGACTTCGATACAACGAAAGGGACATTATTTGAATCATTGGTGAAACAGGGTTTTCGTAATGACTTGCATGTTATGATTACAATTTTTTTTTGTTCTAAAAAACGTTACCATTAAGAACACTTGGTTCAACAGACGTAGTCATATTTAAAAGAAACCAATATAGAATATGAATTACTTATAGCTGAGAGGAATAATCGACCGGATAATTATCACGGGAAAACATTTTTCAATCGAGGCGAAGCCAAAGCTCACAATGTTTTTTTTTTTTTAAGGGGTTATGTCCTGCTTTAACTAACTAAGGACATTTTTATCACGTGTTAGATTGTGGTTTGACATAACGTCGTCTGATCTTTTAATTACCGAACGTGACTTGTTTCCGATTGTGACTGTTTTGCTGAGTGTGAATTCGCATTGCTATAAGACGTGTCACGGTACTTTTCTATCCAAAATTCATGTATTTAGTTTTGATGTTATATTTGTAATTCTCATCGGATTTTGTCAAATGTCTTATCGTTTGTAGTTGTAAATCTTATTTTGTTTCTGTTGTATTCGTGTGTTATGGTAAAGATAATTAATCACCCAGTTAATTTATTAGAGTTTAGTTTGGGTCAACTAAATTCATACGATATATTTGGTTTACAGTTTGATTTAGAAGAAACACCGACATAGCTAGATAATACAATTAATTATCTAATTACTACCACAATTTTATATTAATTAGTATTGTAATTTTCATTGTTATTAATAAATGTTATATGAGTATTACAAACCTAATCTTGAATTCTATCCTAATTCTATCCTATTTTGGGGAAATTTTTAGAAATTCAAATGTGACGTCACTATGTGCGTTGATCTCTTTGGCTAACTCGGCTGTGAATTTTTATGTGCTGGTTTATGTTGTTTTATGTATCCGTTTTTATTCTGTAGTTAGTCACCACTTCGGTGTTATCATATATATCTACTATATAGTCATTTTTATAAATTTACTGTTTGCAAAAGTATGAATTATTCTAAATAATAAGGATGTTCTTATCCCAGACAGAAAACCTTAGCCGTATTAGGCACAACTTTTTGGAACTTTTGGTCCTCAGTGCTCTTCAACTTTGTACTTGTTTTGGCTTTTGAACTTTTTTGATCTGAGCGTCACTGGTTAGTCTTGTGTGGACGAAACGCGCGTCTTGTGTATTAAATTTTAAACCTGGTACCTTTTGTTAGCAATTATTCGTATGTTTCTCTGTCCTAAATGTTCTCCCATTTATTTGTATTGTTGACCTGTCACGTAATGTTTTCATTTTAATGTTATATTTAACATTGCCATAAAAGCGGGAGGTTTGGATAGCCACAAAACCAGGTTCAACCCACCATTTTTTTCTTAAAATGTCCTGTACCAAGTCAGGAAAATGGCCATTGTAATATTATAGTTCGTTTCTGTGTGTGTTACATTTTAATGTTGTGTTTCTGTTGTGTCGTAGTTCTCTTATATTTGATGTGTTTCCCTAAGTTTTAGTTTGTAACCCGAATTTGTTTTTTTCTCAATCGATTTATGAATTTCGAACAGCGGTATACTACTGTTGCCTTTATTTAATCACCCTCTCAGCTAATTGAAAAAGCTATCTTGTTTATCATTGTGAATGTCCTTTTATTATTGTCTTTTAAATTAAATTATTTTGATTAAGACAATTTCTTGTTCTTACAGATTTGAAGCCGAGTAGATTCAAGCGGTTATCCATGATTCGTATCTGTATCGTGATCTTCGGTTCTCATTTATTTTTTTTATTTTTTTTTTTTTATGTTGGTTCTTGTCCACATATGTTGGGTCCATATCACGGATATACCATAAAATTTAGAATGGAAATGGGGAATGTGTCAAAGAAACAACAACTCGACCATAGAGCAGACAACAGCCGAAGGCCACTATTTAACATAACAGTATATTCATTTTAAACAAACGTATGTGCAAATATACGAAAACTAATAGGCAATTATTTCACATATTTACACAATCTAAAATATAAAATTGATGCAATAAATAGGCGGTTTGTTGAATAAAAGATCAGTTTGATTTTATGCAATCATTCAGAGTTTATGCTCATGATACTAAACAATTTATAGACAATTTTATGTCAGTGTGAGAAAGAATATCAACTTTTTTTTCAATGTTTATCAGGCTTAAAACATGGGAAGGGCAAGTTTTACAAAAAAACTTATATTTTTCTGACATAGGTCTAATGTTGTTTTTACACTGCATTTGTGCAGGAAAGTGACCTGACATGAAATCGACATTGCACGAACTATCACATTGTTACTTTATTATGTAAATAAAGACAACATGAAGTGTTCTAGCTGCAGTATCAAATGATATATATATTATCCACTTGTACATTTTCATGAACATAAATGACTTCGAATAATTGGGCAATGTAAACCTTTTTTTCATTAATATGATGTAACACTCAATTTGAATACTTTTTCGGGATTTAAAATAAACTCGAGATACGAGGATAACAATTTTGTACGCCATACGTGCGTTTCGTCTACAAAAGACTCATCATTGACGCTTGAATCAGTTAAGTTCAATAAGGCCAAATAAAAATACGAAGTTGGAGAGCATTGAGGACCCAAAATCCGTAAGATGTTGGCAAATAAGTTTTTTTTTAATGCAGGGGGATGATAGTTAGCTACAAACAGATATAAATATGCGCAAGACAAATCCGTCGTACGGAGCTATTGACATATATGCATAAATGAATCATACAGTTCATCATTATACTAAAGCAGTGGCGTATTACTTAATATTTCTTCAGGGTCGATGATGCACGACCAGACATATTTAAGTTTTGGTGTTTTCCAGTCTTTTACACTCTCGGATCATCAAATTTTACATTGCATTATAAAGGTGAGTTAACATGTAGAGCTAATAATAAAACAATAACGCAACATCTCACTTAATTTCTAATTAAATTTTTATTGATCACGTTGGTATAAATGTTTTTTAATCAAAAGCATCATCTTCTATGAAATTGGCAAATCTTTAAAAATATAATGATTTGCTTAAAGAGAGAATGTTTTCAAACACAAATAAAAAAATCCTGCCCCCTTCTCTAAGTTCTTGAAGTAAATGAATATTGTATATTTATCTAACTCCATTGCTCTTACTACAATTTATGAACAAACCAATGTTTTGAACTTTGATTTTCGAAACTCTTGTGAATCAATGAAGCTTGAAAATTCATGATACAGATTAACTTTTTCTTTTAAGCATATATGCCTTAAATTTCCAATCGCAAACAAAACATTAATGGCATTCTTATACAAGAACAGACCAATGACGCCTACGCAGTTACCTGAAATCTATGCAACCATTATCCATGTTCTTAACCTTAGTTGTATTGACTTTGAATGAAGAAATGTCCTTTCAATAATGTATTATACGTACATATCTATACATTATGACCATTCTTTTTCGAATATTGTTCTATGTTCAACTTTCACATTTGTTCGTGTTAACAACTTTAAGATGGGTTCACATATAATCTAACATCAAAGTGATTTTCCAATAGGTCCTGACTATCACTTTTAGTAATTGAAGTGCGTCTAAAATTACAATAAGACCTCTATAAACAAACAGCCAGTAGTTGAAACAAGGATTCCGATCTATGTATAACCGTTTAGGCGTCTGAACATAAAATGGTAAAGTTTTGATCAGATTAATTATTGAAAGTTGTTTTTCGGACATTTGACCTAGGTTTCTTTTTTAAGGTTAAAACTATTCGGTGGAAGAAAATTCAGATTTTTGCAATAATTATACAGGGTTTTGTTGAAAAATAAATGTAAAGCGTTCTATGGAAATAAAATGAACACAAAACTAAATACGAGTAGTTAATTTTGCTTCAAATTTTCCTCCGCCCTCGGTAAAACGGGCCCTTAAGGAGAACATCTCAAACAGTTTACAGTTCACTTTCTCGAATCATACGATCTCTCTTCATTTCTAATTCATACAATTCCCTCAGCTTTTTTTATCTTGATTTTAAATATTCTAAATGGATGGACAAGATGTGAACATTTATAAACTGCTGTAGACTTAATTAGGAATAGTTCTATCTTCGAGTATTCACATTCTTTTTTTATCGTTTGTAAATATTGTCAAAAGTTCTTTCTCGAGGCAATTTGTATTATAGTACAGATCCGATGTCCACGCTTTGCTAACAAGGATCTGACAACACTTGATTATACTTTCTGTTTCTGTTAATTATTGCATCAGCCAATAACATTTCTGGTCCCAAATTTGTGAAGGTCAAATCATTACGACAAAACCAATGGATCCTAAATGATCTTTAACAGAAAGTAAAATGGTTTGTTTTTAGATCCTTGTAAGCAACCAGTGGACACAGGATGTGTCTGTCAATCTGATCGTCAAAAGGGCGTCTTGAGTTGATCAGTCGACCTCTATAGTGATACCGTAGACCAATTAAAAGAGCATAAAAAACTGAAATGGAAGTTAACATAGGAAATATAATTTTGCTGAACGGACACAAAAGCGGCTGTCATAGAACAGAAAGTCGTCATGAAAAGATAAACCACACGACAGCTAGAGAAAAATATAGTAAACTTGAAAGGAATTTGATGTTCCCTTTAAGCGAACTTTATAGAATGTTATGTTTGTAACCATCGGCAGGGTTAAGTAAATATTCTTAGTAACAGCTATATAATATAACATTTATTGATATATTTTGTTTGATACAACTGTGAGAATCTTTATGAATTTCATTTATTTTTAGATCAAAGATTTGTATCCGACAAAAGCGTGGAAAGGGTTACTTTGAAACAAACAACAGCCTTAAATGAATCTCAGTTTTGCGATATCTGTGGACCAAGAATGTTCGATGATCCTTTCACACTCTTAGCATTAGGTAACACTATTTATTTAAGATTATCTTCGTCTAGTAAACTGCTATATTTGCCTATAGATAAATTCATTTAATATTCATTATGAAAGGTTTTACAATTAATAAACCATGTTTATAAGACGTGAACATATGCAATATTTGTCCTCTTGTGGCTAATAAATGTTCACATAGGCTACAATATAGAAAATTCTTAAAGCCAATGCGTTGTATACCATGATACCTTTATACATACCATGTGTGTGGATGTATACTAATATAATATTCAATATAGGAAAAAGTCGAGCGTCATATGATCACATACCTTTGTTTCATCTTTAGTATATAAATTACATGTATCATTTTCATTTCTTCATTTGAATCATGTTTCGTAAATAGAAAAGTCCTTTTTTCGAATATTTTACGGATGGAATCATGACTTTGCTGATTTTGACCAATTACCTCGATGACAGATGAACACACAAAGGTTACAATTTTTGGAGCTTATGTTTTTACTTCGTTTATGCCTGATAGCCAGTTGTAACCATCCTTCGAATTTACTCTTTACTTTTTGAAAAGGACTACTTTTCATTCCGGAGCAACTGCGGTCATTAATTTTTGGAGCTAAGTTCGTGTTTTGTTCGGTTGAGTTTTGTATTACGTGAATTTTCTTGATTTTTCTTCCGGTAAGGCTTACTCGTTCTCCTGAAAATTTACCAGTTCACCAAGATTGGGTCTCATGCTTAAAAAGAAAGACATCGACAAAATTATTCTATTTCATCGTATAGGCACGATTAATTATGGGATTTGCATAATCTTCTAGAACATCAGAGTTTAAGTATAATTGATGCGTTTATTGTGTGCAAATTTGCTATCTTTATGTGTTTAAAAAAGTTTAAAACACTAGAATTGTTCTCACTACAAACCAGTAAAAGTCTGAAATGGCCTATATCTGTACTCGACTGTACTGATTTTTACTCGACCAGTCTGAATTGGTCTGAATTTTACTCGACATTACTCGACCCCAGTCTTAACCATACTCGACCGTACTGATTTGCCATTGAAAATAGTCTGAACTATTACTCGACCAGTCTGAAACAGTCTTAACCAATTCTCGACCTGTACTCGACCATTTTTTTCAGTCTAAACCATACTCGACTAAAGGTCTGAACAATACTCGACCAGTCTGAACCATACTTGACCAAAAAACCTATACTTTTTTTAATTTTAGCTGTTAAAATTAATCTCTTTTTTTCTGACATGACAACAGCCACAATAAAATTAAGATATATATAAAAACATATGTTTACATCCTTACATCATGTACATGATTCTCAGAATTATCAAATAGAGATAGTTAAATTTAATTATATTAATTTTAAAGTTTTAGAGTTTTGTTAAAAAAAAGAGTTTCTTTTAACTAAAAACCACACCTTTACTGAGGGCAATAAAACCTTATTAAGGTGCTTCTTGTTTGGCATGTTTTTTTTTTGTTTTTTTTAAACTTCATTTTCCTAAATTCCTAAGGAAAAACTATATAGGTTTCATAGTTACATACAATAGTTATATAATTATCTTTTTAATGAGGTAACAACAGCCAAAAAATCACTGAAATTGTTCAACCTTATATTAGAAATATATCTATTCTTACTATAATTTGGGATACATTATATATAATATATATAAAAAATGGATTTAAAAAAATTAAAGAAATAGATAAAATTTTTCTTCTGATTAGTGGTAAAGTATAAAGTAATACCTCCTGCTTGGGGCAAACTCATTAAAAAGATCACACCTGGTCAGAGAGTATTAATTTCTAATTAACATTCATTAAAAATTGCCATATCCTGTAAAACTTAAATCGCAAGGCCTTTTGATTTCACTAGATAAGTAATACACGAGTTTAAGAAAAAAGGACTTTCTTTTAACCTGTAAATAAAGGCAACAGTAGTATACCGCTGTTCGAAACTCATAAATCGATAGAGATAAAAACAAATCCGGGTTACAAACGGGTTGTAAAACACACATGTACTGAGGTAAATAAACCTTATTAAAGTGCTTCTTATGCCATGTCTTTAACTTTGACAAAAGTTATTTAAATATAATTTAAATAAATTTTTTCTGCAACTTTGGAACACATTTCCTTTTTTAAATGGTTATCAAGGATTGCTATGGAAGTTCTATTATCATGATTATATTCGATTCTTGGTTTTACAAAATAAGGTGTTATTTTTAAAATTTATTAAGTTGCTTTATATACCATGTATAATATTTTAAATATATTTTAATAAAAGAAATGTTCACTGCATTATTAACTAAACTCAACTGACACCTTTAATCTATACAAGGCTTGAGTAATTGGTGAAAATTGTCCAGTAACCATAAAATATATCTGAAACATTCAAAAAATTTGAATAACATTGAAAATATTAGTCACAATTCAGTTTTGAGATTATTTGTTCAGCTTGTTTTATTTTTATTTCAAAGGTGATATATAGATATGTAAGTGTTGATAAATATGGTGTTGAATTTATATTATGTTTATTGTGAAATTTTGGTTTCAATGCCATATTGAATACATTTTAAATTTCAAATTGTTGTTCAAATTTCTAGCCAGGGGAAATAGCTGTTAAAAACAGTTCCTAAATTGATGAAATACAATAGATAGATACAAAAATGAAGTCTAGCTTGGTTAAGACTTAGTCGAGTATGGTTCAGACTTGGTCGAGTATGGTTCAGACTAGGTCGAGTATGGTTCAGACTAGGTCGAGCATGGTTCAGACTAGGTCGAGCATGGTTCAGACGAAAATAAAATGGTTAAGTACTGGTCGAGTAAAGGTCGAGTACAAGTTCAGACTGTTAAGTATGGTTCAGACTACAGTCGAGTATTATCAAGTAAATTTCAGACCAATTCAGACTGGTCGAGTAAAAATCAGTACAGTCGAGTACAAATATAGGCCATTTCAGACTTTTACTGGTTTGTAGTGTCTATACCAGACATGGATATCCTAAGTCGTATTATGACTATGGTTTATAATGGTTCTTACAGTAACTTTGTTATCAATTAACCTTTTTTTATTTTTAAGTCGACTAATGATAATCATTACCACCTGCTTATCTTGTTGCTTTTTAAAGCCGTTTACTTCTTTTACAGAACAGTCATGTAAGTACAGTAAACAAGAAACATTATTTCATTTTTAGAAACAAATTCACATTATATACTTTTGCACCTTTTATATCATTTCTTCATCCAAATGATATTTGAATTTTTCGTTGGCCTGACATAGACATTACCATATCAGCACAATGCAGAACAAAGGTATATCCGTAACTCCTTTTGAATCCGTACTCAGAATTTAGTGAAACGTACTCATAACCTTTATCGTATAATGTTATTGTGCACGTCTCGTTTTGTTTTTTGTTCCGAATTATTTGTTTTGGTTTCCCGTAGCAAATCACGCTCTTTACAATTGCTCTTGTGAGGATTCACTGACACTCAGAATCTTAACATTATGAACTGCCATTATTTCCCCTTGGCAAATCATGAATGTTCCATTGCTTTTATGGAGTTACTATTTTTTTTAATCTCCGAATCATCTTGAAACCCTTTTTGAATTTATTGATTTTTTTCAGAATATTGCAATATAACTTCATTGAGCACTTCCTACTGTTTTAATCCTGATTATTATTTGGGTCCCGTACTTAATTATGTATTGCATTACTTTGAAGCCTGGTATTATTTTTTGAGTAGCTGTAATTTTAGTTTATCTGATGTTTTTAAAGGGTAGAACAATATTTTGCGTTTATGATAGGTGTTTGTTGCATTTTATTTGTTAGTGTTTTCGATTTGGGTTTTATTTTGCTTAAGTTATTTTATTGTCAATTATCTTTGAGTGATATATATATGATTTGAAGTATTTTGAACCATTTAAGGGTTCAGACTATCTTTTCAACTGCTAGTGGTTTTTTGCGTTATTCTGTTTTCTTTGATTTAAAAGGAAAAGGTCATTGGTTTGAAACTTCAGTCCTTCGAAATGGACCGTAAGACGAATCATCTGAAAATACTGTGTACATTCTTGCCAAGCTAGCTAAAACTGCATACTATAAGCTTTGATTTATAGAACTGCACGGAAAAAAAACTGTTAAACTGAGAATAATATTGTCATCATTGTTGTCAAATGACAAAATCTTTTCAACCCATTATATGATCAAAGATTGTCTATATTCGAGTTATATCATTGACACACGAGAATATGCTCTATTTTAAAATTGTCATTACACAACATAATCAAATTATAAATTGTAATCCATGCTGCAACGTTTTCTAAAAACGCGACAAAGGTTATAAGAAATTCTCATTTTTACTTGCCTAAAGTGGAAACACAACATGTCAGGATAACTTGTTCCTTTTTTCTATAAGACGCTAGTGATAAAATATCAATGATAGAACTTTTGTGGAATACAAATCTCATTAATAATTAATGATTGAGAATTTTTTGGTGCAAACGACACGTTCAGCCCTCTTGGCTATTTCGTTGGGGCCAGTTTTTATTCGTGGAGGAAGTCGGAATGCCCGGAGAGAACAACCGTCCTTCGGATTGAAGACTTGCTATCTGAATCAATTAAGATTAGAGTCGAACGCACCTGCCACGTGAAATTTCCATGTATACAAAGAAAACTGTATAGCAATGTTCGTTAATCCTGAGTTTTAACCAAATTATAAGACTTAGTATAGAATATAATAGTAAGATATCATACTTATAAAAAAGATGTGATATGATTGCCAATGAGACAACTCTTCACAGGAGACCAAATGACACAGAAATTAACAACTATAGGTCACTGTTCGGCCTTCAACAATGAGCAAATCCCATACCGCATTGTCATCTATAAAAGGCCCCTACTACAGCTTAAAAAAACTTTCTGTTACAGCCAAAAATATATCCGTTTCGAACTAATTACTAGTATGGTTTTTTATTATATGTTTGATGTCTTAAAAACAATTTCAGCTCCATCGCCAAATGTAGTACCTCCCGCTGTTTGTGAAGTTCCATTTAACTGTCCATCAGAAAATACCATAGCCTGTCCCCAGGAAGGGAGTATTCCAAAAGAATGTACTGGCACGGATACGACCACTACAGACAAAATAACCACGACTACTCTAGCACAATCAACAACGATCACTTCAGATACTCCAACCACGACTACTCTATCACATTCAACAACGACCACTTCACATACTCTAACCACGACTTCTCTAACACAATCTACCACGACCACTGCAGACAATCCTACTACCACTCGAGCTAAGAAACCATGTGGTTTGAACGGTCGTTTGCACAGACATGGCCAATAAAAGCAGTACATTAAGACGAATGTATTAGCATTGAATATGAATAAAACAAAAACATCCTGAAAGGAATAATTTATTTGTTTTACATTGAATTGCAGTCAATCAGAATTAAGTTAACCTAGATAAAACTTTAAAGATGTCGTCTGTTTTTTCACCTTTATATCCGAATGATCAGTGTTTGTTGTAGGCTGGTTCTCTCCCTTGCAACATACGGGTATCTGATCACCCTTGTTGTCAGAGCAAAACAGGTGAAGGACAGGGAACCAGTCTGTGGCTGTTGTTGTCAAATGTAAATTCGGATTTTAAGCATTCTACGTTGACAAATTAAAAATGAGAAAAAACGTTTCAAGCTCCCTCAGTCAAAGTTGAACTTAAACTTAGATGGATTTCCCCATTATTCCTAGGTACCTTTCGGTCATAGCACTCCTCGTGTATTGAAATATTCATACATCATTGGCTTTCACATTTGTGGGTTTGAGCATTCCTAATGAAAAGCACAAAATTATAAATTGTTTATTTCATTTTTTAAGCAAGTACATATAAATTAATTAAGCACGATTCTCCAATAAAAAGGTTCTAAGAAATCAGAGAAAATAATTTGTATCAGAGTGCATGGAGTTTGAAAATATTTTATTACTAGTCTTTCTGTTTTAAAATGCTTTCAAAGTCAATCAAATATTAAGTGTAGACAAAGAGAAAACGTAATGACTGGTTAATGTGGTTACGATCTGATTACCCTTCCGGAGCACCTGAGATCACCCCCGGTTTTTGGTGGGGTTCTTGTTGCTCAGTCATTAGTTTTCTATGTTGTGTTTTGTATACTGTAGTTTGTCTTTTGATCCTTTTCTTTTTTTTGTTTGTCATGGCATTGTCAGTTTATTTTCGACTTATGAGTTTGAATGTCCCTCTGGTATCTTTCGCCTCTCTTTTGCTATTCCTGAATTTTCCAAAATGGCAAAAGGTAACAAACATTTCGTATTACGCTGGCATTTTTGAAGAGCCCTGACGTGTTAATTGAAAAACGAAAATTCATCATACAGATAGCGATACATGTATACGATAATCACACAAGCATAACCAACACTTTACAAAACAACTTATTAAAGTAAAAAGGAGTAATAAGAACTCCTGGATGATTAACATGAACTGGTTGTTCATGTTGCCGTAAAGATGAACCGTAATTAATAGAAGTTGAACGACAGACTATACTACACTTTAGACACAAATCATATGTGATTAACAACACATCTTTCATTTCCATGGCCTGTGCAGTTTTTTAACTGTGTTCTTTCTTTTTACGGCACTTGGTCTTGACAGGAAAGGAGTGGTTGGTGCGCACTAAAAACTGTTTTTTTTAATCCCATCAAATATTGTGGTTATTTCAAGTATGGGAATTTTTACAATGTTATGTATCACAAAGTTCATTTGAATATTGGGCAGATACCGACCTTGTAAATCAATTGGCATTTTGATACATTGTTTTTTGTTCATTGTTTTGTCATAAATCAGGCCGTTAGTTTTCTTGTTTGAATTGTTTTACATTTTTAATGCGGTATGGGTTTTGCTCATTGTTGAAGGCCGTATAGTGACCTATATGTGGTAACTTCTATGTCATGGTCTCCGGTGGAGAGTTGTTTCATTGTCAATCATACCACGTCTTATTTTCATATTGATTGAGACACTGAACAAGCCTGGTAATTAAATGTTTTACTAAGTATGGCACTATCCATTCTTTTATGGATAATTCTACTACTCATGATGTCAATAATGATCGAAATAAAATTTGGAAAAAATATGTACAATTGATGAATACCTTAATATGCTTATAGAGACTTCGATTGCCTCTTACGTATTTCCGAATACTTTGATATTTGTCCTCAATCGGTTAGTTTGCGAAGTCATTTCAACCTTATAACCGTCCTGATTTATTTTATCGTTTCATTCAAAGGTTTTTTTATCTACTTAACTAAACTAAAAAAATAAAGGTATTTTGTTTTGAATTGTTCACATAACTTACAAGTTAGAGAAATATATTGTATAACATTTGACAAATGACTACGGAAATTTTACGTTTATTTAATAAAATTATTATCAAATGATCGATGTTGGGATCCAATTGCATTTTTCCTGTACATTTACAAAAACGCATTAGTGTTTGAATTTACACCATAACTGGTATGTCATACTCATTGGTACATACAAAGAGCAATTCGAGATCATGATGGCATAGACTCGAATGTAGGCGACAACAATTTTGAAAAAGCTGTCTAAACTCTCATTGTTAGCTGGCTAGAATTTAATGAGTTGATCATTGAACAATGATAATGAAAAAAATGAAAAAAAGACTCGCGATAGTTTTCCGACTGTTTAAAAATCATTATTAATTTAATTAAATTAAAACATTGCGTTTGGTCCACATAGACCTTTTGCAGTTAATTGAATGTTGTGGGCAGTAAAACCAAAATACTGGAAAATCAGATGTGAATGTAAAGTGTACGTTATTGGAATGCAACTTGATGCAGTTATTTTAACTTAGGATGTAGTTTGTGTTAGTATTGTATATTGGTACAGCAACCCAATTTATTCATTTCTGGAGAAGAGGAATTGCGCATCGTTTCGTTTTCAATGTTATGTTTGGTGGATTGAATTTTATATTGATTTCCAATTCCCAAGGCCGGGCCATGGTTTTCTTTATCTCGTAGTTTTTCATTGTCCCTTTTGTATCTTGTCACGTTATCTGCTCACCTTTCCGGAGCACCTGAGATTACCTTTGGTTTTGATGAGGTCTGTATTGCTCAGTCTATAGTTTTCTATGTTGTGTTTTGTAGACTGTTGTTGTATTTTGGTCGTTTTACGACATGGCGTTGTCAGTTTGTCTTTGACTGATTAATTTGAATATAAGTCAGCTGACTATAATATATGGCTTTTAGTTCTCTTTATTGAAGGGTGTACGGTGATCTAAAACTGCATACAGCCACATCATAGGAACTCTGGTGGATATTTATATCATTGGCCATTGTTCTGATACTATATGGATTTTCATCTTTAGTTATCATTTGTCGATGAAAGTAGTATTTAATGCTGCCTATTATCATTTATTAAATTCTTATTTAAACACCTTAAAAATGTACTTGGGTGAGGTTTAGGAATTTGTGTTAGATGTTCGAACTCCTTGGTTTTTTTCCTACGATACAGGGTAAAATATTTTGCCCCATAACACCCATTTTTCTTTTCATATAAGACTTCAATAGCTCATAAAAGGTCATTTACCAAAATTTAAGCAGATTCTAGATTTCTTTTCTTTCGATTTGAGGCCCAAATAATACCAAATTGAATGCAAATACAATGTAAAAGTCCGAATCAGCCTTTTCCTGCCATTTTTTAAAACTCAAATATCTCGAAAAGGAGCTCCATAACTTATCAATATTTTTAGCTTATTTTGTTCCTTAACAAATGCTCTTCCGACTTATAGTATTAATTTTAGATTCTAGATTTTTTTAATTTCACCTGAGTACATCCTTAAGTATGCAAATAAGGAGACAAAGGACTATTTCAGGAATGGCCTTAGTACATTCCATTATCCGTGCATTTCAGCAGGAGACCGAACCATTTTTATCGTTTTATATAGCGCTTACACAGTTTGAGGTCTAAACTATGCTTTCGGTGTCAGTAGTTTTTTTTTAATGTCAAGTGGCAAATATTGCATGCATATTCAAGTCGAAAACCAATTGGAAATACATCAATGGCCAGTGGCAAATATTGCAGGCATCAAAATCGATAACAAATAAAACATACATTAAATGAGTATGTAGTGACGATTGTTGACCAAAATTGCCACTGGAAAAAGTGTATGTTGGAAGCTTTTCCTAGCAACAGTCCACGTACGAACCCCTCGAGAAGACCCAACTCCCAAATACCTTTCGAACGAACGACGTATATATTCACCCCACACATTTAAATGGAAGTGCTTTTAAATTATCGGAAAAAAAACTGCCGGAATTTAAAGTCCAGCAGATGATGAGTATGTACCCTCGTTGATACTAAATCGTAATACCTTTAATTATATCCCCCAAACAATCCCTATCGCTTAAAAATTAATGGGAATGAAATTGACAATACCCCCAATTAAAAAAACCATCAAAGTCACATTAAAGAGGCAAACATTTTCCTGGAAAAATTGGCTAAAAGCTGATATTTGTCTAGTTTTAAATCTCTCTTTAGATTTTTTAAACTTGCTAGAGCACTTAAAAATTTTCTACAGGTATTAAAGTGGATTAGAAGGAACTGAATATGGTAAAGAAATTTTCAACAAAAAACTATTAATCGTAAAAGTATCGTGACCAATCTCTTACTTTGAAATCACTTATATTCGAATTATAGCGTCATACATAATGGTCCAACACACAGCGTTTTACAACGTGACTGCCTTTCATGCTATCAAATTTGGTTATGATAGTGCTTGGTTACATTGGCTTTTTACAATATAATGAAATCAGTAATTTGAAGTACAACGATGTCATTTTTTTTTTTTTTTATTCACATATAAATATAAGAATAAAAAAAGCGTAAACCCGATCAATACAAATCAGATGCATGACTCTGTAGTTATTGCTAAAGATCAAGCCACAGCATGTCCTTTTTCTTTTGCTTAATTTATTTGAATATGGCAAATATCATTCCGAATGATGAATTCATATTTAGATTCCTTTTTCGATCAGGCAACATTATAGTTTGATACATAAAAACCGACCACTTATAATAGCTACACTAGGGCTTGAGAATGTATTGTCAATCGTTTGAAAAAAGTATGTAACAATTTCAATATTGGTTTACATTCACTAAGGGCTATTAACTATTGGTTTACATTCACTGAGGGCTATTGAATATTGGTTTACATTCACTGAGGGCTATTGAATATTGGTTTACATTCACTGAGTGCTAGTGGTGTTACAAAAGCAGCGAATTCCAATGTCAATGACAGGTGTTAGAAACGTCAAGGTCGCAGGAACAGTGACTTGGCCAAAGACTGTCGCAGACTCATTGAAACATAGATTAGAAGCGATCATTCACTGACAGGTATTTGATACTTCTTGGCTAAAATTTTCTAAGATGCATTTTATAGTTTTTCGGCACCCGTTTTTTTGTGGATTTATATAGTTCGTCCGCGCCGCAAATGCAACAGAAATTAGTTGAGTTATTTTTTAGATTTAAATAGTTTTGAATTATAGTCCGTTTGTTTTATGGTATACTGGTTCGTCATATTTTTGAGTATGTTTGGTTTATTTAGTATTGTACAACAAATAAGTATCTTTTTCTGTGTTTTGTACTATATCAGAAAAATATTGTATTACATGGTTAATCGAGACTAAGTGAAGTCATGTGGTTTAGATTAACCAATGGTCAAGGTTTATAGTTTGGCGCCAAAAGTATTATTTTGGTTTTCATTCTTGTCGTGAACGTTCGATGGTAAATTACAATTTTCAGTTTATATTGATTGATTTTTGAGTTTTTATCGCCACTTTTAAGCACCGCGTTTGGGCTATTTCGTGGCGGCCAGTTTTTATTGGTGGAGTGCCCGGAGAAAACCACCGACCTTCGATAGGAAAACTGACAATCCTAATCAATTAAGATTGGAGTCGAGTGCACCCGCACGAGCGGGGTTCGAACTCACAACCTCAGTGTTGACTGGCTAGTGATTACAGTAGTAACTTCTTAGACCACTCGGCCACCGATGCCCCTTTTCAGTTTATATATATATACGTATGTTATAGCTAGTGATTAAGTATTTTTGTATTTGGATTTTAGCGCAGGACTTTGAGCTTTCTCTGGAAGCGATGTCGGCATTACCTTGAGTTTCTCATGTTTCCATGAAATTATTTTTCTGTTTTTTTTTCTGGGTTGCAGTCATCACTTATAGCCCCGTGTAGCATCACCACCGGATATAGGTACCCCCGAAGCAAAGAAACAATGATAGCGAAAAGTATCTATTCTAACCCCCGTATAGTAAATAACTAGTAGTCGTACAATTTATCTGCTTTATTTTCATGAATTTCTCTGAAAACAATAGTTTATTTATACCTTCGTTCTACGGAAACGTCAAATGAATAGTTGAAGGATAAATGTGTTTTAACAAGTTTGAACTCGTCACATGCTTTGTTCAAACCTATCCGATTCTGATGATTTAAAGAGAGAGAAAGCCAATTAAGGATCATAATCAGCCCTAAATAGTAGCTACAGTATTACGAATCACTATTACAAAACTTCACTTGTCAGCAAATCGTAGAATATAATGAAAATAAGAAGAATTTTGCCTTACCTGACATCACATTTGTTTTTCAACCGCTTCGGAGGTACCTTTGTTCGTTGGTGATGCTACACAGTGACGACAGAGGCAATAAAAGATGAAAATAAAGAATCTTTTTAAATTTGTTTCTAAAATCTAGATGGGCATAAGTGTTAGCCTCATTTATTATTTTCTATTGATGTAATGAATAAATTTGTATCGTCACATATGTCAGATTATATTATGTTAAAAGCCGGCTAATTCGTCTGCACGGCAAATGCATAATTTGTCCGCACAGCAAATGCATAGTTCCGTCCACACGACAAATGCATAGTTTGTCCGCACGGCAAAAGACCAGAAATGAGATTTTGGGTAAAGATTGCATGAAATATAATCAAAACCGGAGATTGGAGTTATCTACCTTTGTCCATGATTGTAGTATATCCAATGTTTTATACAATGCAAGGTTTATTTTCATTTCCCACTTCCCACTGATAAATCAAAGCAATCTTTATCCTCAGTGCTAACAAGCACTTTGATTTTTTTTTTAGATTTAAAATAGTCTCAATGTATAGTCCGTTTCTATTGTGGTATACTGGTCGTCAACATTTTGAGTATGTTTGGTGTATTCAGTATTGTATAGTAAATACCAATGTTTTCCTCTTTTCATTTGAAAGTTCAAAATTTATCCTGGCTACAAAATTAATGTAAATATAATTGTAAAACGCATATAATCGTGTTCGAGCTTTAAAAACAGGGTGACTTATAAGTCTGTTTGACCTAATGAATATGATGATTGATCAGAGATCTCGAAAAGTGATGGTCCGACGGTTTTGACCAACAAAATTTTTAAAGGACGGATACAGACAAAGGTATTTTGCAACAAAAATGATAGTGAGGACCAGCAGATTTTCTTTAAGGACCACCATGGACAAAAAGATTTCGAGAATTCTGATTGATGAAATTTTGCTCTTATTCTGTCGTATTTACAGTACTACAACATTTTAACTAAGATCACGCTCCTAAAATCGTATGCTGATAGAAAACAATACATCTATTTTGTAACCAAGGTACATTTTTTTGTCATTGTACAAAATTTATTGCCTCTACAAATGATTTTTCCGAAGTTCACCAAAAAATCACTAAAGTAATTAAATTTGTTAACATTCTATATATTATTTTTAGGAATCACGCGTTGGCGGATTCTTTAATTCTATATACGATCTTGAACCTATTTAGACCCATCGTGTTGATTGTTATATAAAACTATGATCACATAAACTTTTCCAATCCTGCGATAAAAACCACGCTAACGAGAGCATTCGCTTTGGCAGAGTGTATTGGATATATAAATAAGCAGTACCGTCCGATTGGAACGATGACTTAATATCTGATACTTCGTGTAGGAAAAGTGCTACTCTAGATGAACTCTTTGTAAAGTTTAAACAGGCTTTCGATAGCTTGTACAAAGACAGCATGTAGGAAATTATACAAACAAACGACATACCTGATACCATCAATGACTATGATAACCACAGAATGATGCTGTGTACTCCACAATGGAACCCAATCCACTCTGTAGAAACTACCCATTGGATTTATTGGGAATTTGTTCTTATCAAGAATGAGATATTTGCCATTAAAATCGTACATTATATAGATAAAAGAAGATGTGGTATGAGTGCCAATGAGACAACTCTCCATCCAAGTCAAAATTTATAAAAGTAAACCATTATAGGTCAAAGTACGGTCTTCAACACGGAGCCTTGGCTCACACCAAACCGCAAGCTATAAAGGGTCCCAAAAATTACTTGATGAACTATAGTTGTTGATGGGCGTACGGTGATGTGTAAATGTAAACATCTTTGTCCGTTGGTCTCAAATCTTCTTGACAAACATACCACAATTCTTTATTTTTGTATTTAACTTACTGGTGGATAAAATCATCAACGTCTAAGTTAATACGGTATGGGTTTTACTCATTGTTAAAGGCCGTACAGTGACCTTTTATTGCTAACATCCATGTCATTTAAACTCTGGTATACCAATACCACATCTCCTTATTTTTGTTTTATATATCCAGCAGCATATTTTGAAAATATAAATATGTTCAAAGAAATAAATTACTTTTTTTCAGTTTAATATCATATTTATTCGCACAAAATAACAACATTCAAATATAAAAAAAAAAATACACAAATAGGACTGAACGCGTGTGGGTTATGATAGAAGCTGTGCTTGATTACAAATGATACTTAACTGCCATGAGTTAACAATTGTCCCCGTTGAGCGATGCACATGGTATAAGATGTCAATTTTAAGCTTTCTGTCATAAACACTTAGATCTGTAAATGTTTATTTTTTACGAAACTTATGTTACTGTTCTTCCATATGCATAGACATGGATAATTAATGGTATGTAGAAAGAATCTGAAGATTTGCACCACGATGTCCAAATGTTACCGTAATGCAGCAAATCTAGGTCAAAGTATAACATTTCAAAATTTTCAAATTTTGTTGTTGTTGTCGATATATTTCCAGTTATTTGTCGGAGTACTATTAATGATATTGATGACATTCAGACCATGGAAATGAACATCGATATTGAAAATATTGGTCTTTTATCACCTCATGAACTCATACGGCCAAATACGCGCCGGTTATTCTGTCTAGGGATACAAAATGACAATGATACCTGAAATAAAAATATTCACATTATTGAAATAAGTAGGATTCCATTGAAAGATATTTGAGGACTACCCTGTAGTACATGTGAATATAATATCGTTGATGAATGTTATTTCTCCTTCGTTTTCAAGCATTTACTTTCATAACATTTTAATAATTAGAACATTAGGAATATAATTTATACACTGTATATATATATAATAATTGACTTCTGCAGCTAAAACCTTCACCCTATGTTCAAGCTGTAACATCGTTTATTACACATTAACTAAAGCTAGGGGCCGGTTTAAAAATAAAACCGAGATTTAAATAACTTTAATATATATACATATTTCTAAAAACATTTACTACTGCCTCAATTATATTTGTGTTTTAATACTCAATAATTTCGTTATTGTAGTTCGAAAATGTACCCATTCATACCTATCTTCTTATTCTATATTCAGTAGTATATCCAATTCTATAAATTTATTACCTCATCGATTAAACCCGAAAATCCATGTTTCTTTCCACCGCACCCACCAACTCTTAGAGGACTCGATCTTGTTTCCACATTACCTGAAAAGTAATAAACAATAGATCCTCATACTTTCGAAATCTAAAATATAATTCAAAGGGCTCTTATTTCTTATATCATTATGTGGTTGAACCTAGGATTTCTTTCATCGGAAACTGATTATCACATGTTGTGAACACTGAAATAAAGTATTCTGCTCATTTCCCTTAAAGCAAAATTTTCCAAAATACTATCAGTCGACTAGCACATGCTATACATGCATCACTCATACATACAAAGCAAAGATAAACAACAGCAAACAACGCATGGCTTTTAAAAGAAGCACGACTTGGTAAAGTCACAAAATAGGATGGGGGTTAACCAGTTTTACATGCGCACAAACCTCCCCCTTTGCTTACATAGATTGTATGTCGTAAAACTAATACATAAACCTCCCCCTTTGCTTACATAGATTGTATGTCGTAAAACTAATACACAAACCTCCCCCTTTGCTTACATAGATTGTATGTCGTAAAACTAATAAACAAATTAAAACCTGCTTATTTCAACTGCGAATTGGATGACGGCTTACATGAACAAGGAATAAAAAAACGGCACATATTTTGGAAATCAGGGTAAAAATTGTTGGCTACTAAAATAAGCTAATTAAGAGTGCTACAGCTGTTGTTTGGAAACTGCCGCTAAAAAAATCAATAAGAAACAACATTTCTTACAGATTTCAGCATAAAATTGAATTGAAATCGTCAGTAATTGTGAGAGGTCAGTTAGTATTTAAAATAATTATTCCACCGGAAAGAACATTTTTTACTGGATTAGTGAGTCTATGACACTTGTGTCCCTTGCTATTAAAAGACTTCTTTTGTAAGAAAAGATAACGTACCTGCTGAGGGGATCGACTTTCTTCGGTTGTTCACAACACCAGTAAATTGAAGTCCATCATAGATCAAACTGACATTTGTCCATTGGTCAAGCTTAAATTATAAATCAAATATATTATTGTACATATCTCCACAATCAAAGCAGTATATATAAACCTTTTTTTTTCTTTACTATTTCTTTCACAATTGAATAAAACGTGCTGTACGCGAAATATCGTTTTTTGAATTTTTTTTAGACTTTATTTTGACACTTATGTTATTTCGTCTTTTCAACCGATGCTCTTTTGATTTTTAAGGAGACCTAACTATATTTAACATTTGTTTATAGTTGATAATTTTTTTAAAATTCATAATAAGTAAATTCAAATTGTATATAATTATAAATAAGTTACGCTCGTGCATGTTAACACTATACGGACTTAATTAACAGGGATGTACTCCTTCTACAAAAAAATGCTCAAACTTAGTTATGAGAAAGAACGAGTGAGATCGACACTTCATAGGTTGTATGGTCACCCTCACGAACGAAATAATGTGTTTGTGTTTCAAATCACCAGCAACACGTTATCACGATCTTTGATCTTTAGAGACCATAACGGTCGTATGATCTGTAATTTTACCGATTGTGTCTTAACCCAAAAAATTACTTTTTGAAAGTGTGGATTTGCATCGCGGATGATGCATGCACAGCAGTATAAGCTTGCTCTGTCGACGCACGCGTGATCGCTCCTTTTTGATTTACCTTGATTTTTATTTTCTCAATCGATTGATGCGATTTGAACATCGGTAAACTACCATTGCGAAATTTATTCCTAAAACATTATTTGCAGGAATAATTTAAATAAAGGATGTTCGCTACTCTGTTTCAAAATAACAAGCTTTTTAAAAGACTGTTATAAATTAGTAGTATATAAATAAAGGAACTATAAAAGCAGGAGAAAATGAAGGGTCCGTGTGCTTGTTTTCGAGATATAAGCCATTAAAAATTTGGCGGGAAATGATTCTCTCTACACTTTTCATACATTTAACATTGGCACCTTTTTTCTGCCTAAAAGTATGAAAAAATAATAAGGATTTCATAATACTTTCAAATATGACTTTTTAAACTATATGGTATAAAATTATGAAAAGAAAAGTAGGGGTAAGCGGGCAAAATTTTTAATGGCACTACAATGGATAAAACCAGAGGATTCCGAATATCTGGCAAAAATTCAAAATTAATGAGGAGCGAACATCCTTAAGCGTCCAACTTCTTTCTGTTTTCTAAAAGAAACCCGTGATTCCTATCCTAGAAACAGTACCTTCTGTTTCACCAGAAAGTGCGTTGATAATAAAGAAAGCCATTTAAAAAAATCGGTCCACTAGCAAGTCATGTAAGGAAGGAGTATTATAATATGTGTTTTCCTTGTTATATTAGATTGAAGCTGTTCAATTGAATACATATCGAGTCAACATCTCAATTGTTGCTTGTATATAAAACGGTATATTTTACATGTTCTTGTAAACGATGGAAATATGATTATGATTTTCTGTCTTACCTTGAAAGGTATCTTAATTTCTTTTCTGTCACGTGGCTCCGTATCCAATACAAATATAACAACCTCTTCAAATCTATCTATTTCAATGCCATACGAAATAACAGTGCCTTCTAGGCAGTTACTAACAACATACTGTCTAACTTCCGGGTGTTTCCTAGTCTTGAAACGAGCTTTGATCATGAGGTGTTGTCCGATATGTGAACCAGTAAACCGCCATATTGTTAAATCACTGTTGCCATTGAAATCCGCCGAACCATTGTTCAGGGCCACATGGTGAGAACCAACATGAATATTTTTTCCAGATTTGTCCCTTAGGTCTGTGTCGAAATCCATCAATAATTCTGGCTGGCAGTCTGTAAAAATTTAAACTATCTCTTTTAAATATGACTTGGGGCTATTTCATTAAATAAATGTGGTAGGGCTAGAAGAGATTTTTTTCAACAACAAATTTAAATTCGTACTGTAGTGAAATATAAAAGTTACAAACAACCATAAATGCCAAACATAAAAAATAAAACTTTCCCTTGGTTTCTATCCTACCACATTCATTAAGGGAGTATTCCTAAAAGCAAATGCGCACGATATAATATGTTATCTCACCTCCTATACATTTCTATGAATATCATTGGTTAAAAGCGACCGCTAGGAGACTATGTATATTTCATATGGGGTTAGTTGGCGTTGTTTATTTCAATACACGGTTAGTATTGGTGTTATGTCCCTTTATAGAAACAACACGGCGTCGAGGAAAAGTCTGAAACGTTTCGCTCGGACAACAGATGAAGAAATTGATGATGAACGATTAAAGTAAATGCAGAAAACAATCAAAAGCTAACAAGTTGTTATTGTTGGCATTTATTTTTTTGTATATAACAATGGAAGTAGGTTCTTTATATGGAAGATTTGATGACATTGATAGGCAACTAGTCTAAATGCCACATGTTAAGATAGTCGGTAAGATAAATTCGTTACAAGTGTGCTAGTGACCTAATACGAGATAGTTGGGGTCAATAAATTTCATATGGGCGAAGCTCTCACCCCATATCGAATTTACTGACCCTACATATCTCGTATTAGGTCACTAGCACACTATGTAACTAAAACTATTGATATAAGATATAATGACGACATTGATTTTAAGTCACGTACTCAGAGAACTAAGCTATTTGAATAAATACTTGGTTAAAAGGGTGTGCTTCTGTGACTAGGCTTGTATGACTTCAAAACTTTAAGAAAGAAAAAAAAACAATACAATCATTAATCTAAAGAGTCATATATAAAGAAATTTATTGACAACCAGTTGCAAGATTTTTAGAAATTCTAAACGTCTACCACGATCATAGCAGGCAGCTTATAGTTCAAGAAGGATGGGCAAAATATAGTTACTTTTTGAGGTACAAAATTCACCATAGTAAAAAAGAAAAAAAAAACATCTGATACACAAATAATATTTCGCGAAACATTACATGTTTCACTTCAAATTAATAACAAAAAACTTAAGAGCGGTCTAGATGCATTTTACTACCAATGAGAAAAAATAAATTGTTGATTTGCTCGTCTTTCACTGTCGATTTCTTTATGTACGTCGAGGAATGACTTAGCAATAAGTGTATCTGTTAAATGTATGTCTTTCATTTCGAGTTCAAGATGATAGATACGTCCAATAAGTTGAATTTCCATTTTTTTTATATTTTTGAAAAGGACATTATTTATTGAACGGTGTGTGAAGTCAACAGATTATACTTGCTACTTTATCTTTCTAAAAAACATAATCAAGTGAAGCATATAGAATATTGCTGTGTTGATTGCATGTTCTGGTCTATGTGTATCGGGATGAATTACTTTCAAATAATAATTGGCTAAGACTTATAAAAGAAGGACGAAAAAAGAGAGATATTCAAATAGTCTTAAGGAAGTTCGCTACTTAGTTTTAAACTAACAAGCTTTTCATAACACTAGTATATATTGATAGGGGATAAATAAAGGAACCAAAAAAGCCAAAAAAATATATAGGTCAATGTGCTTGTTTTCGAGATATTAGCCATTGAAATTTTCGCGGGAAAATATCCTCTCTTGATTTTTCATAGCTTTATCATTGACAAGTTAAAGTTCTCAAAAACTATTGAAAAATAATTAAGATTTTATAAGACTTTTACAGATTGCTTACAATTGTGCATGTAAAAGTTTAAAAATAAAAAAAATGGGGGTCAATGGGCAAAATTTTTTAAGGCATTCAAATTGATAAAACCAGAGGATTCCGAAAATCTGACAAAAATTCCAAAACATGACAAGCGAAATTCCTTAAATAGAAGGCAAGTTGACAAAGTCATGGCAGATAACGAAAAATGACGAAAAGACAAACACTGTCTACAAAACATAATATATAAAACTAAAAACCCAACCAAAAACCTGGGGGATACGACTACGAATACGTTCCACGTAGCCACAATTTTTCTTTTTCGTTGATTATCAAATAATAAGATTTATTAACCGATTTCTCATTGTAACACGAGCACAGCTCATGGACGTTGCCACTAATGAAACAAAGAATACAAAAATGTACGTACCCTTCAAGAGCATCTAATTTCAAACTTTTTTTCAAAACGAGTCTTAACTTGTTGTACATCCTTCAGACATTGTAGCTTTTTAATCCGTAGTTTTCAATGATTTTGTTTCTCATTTATCTCTTCTTCTCTGCTTTTTGGTTGGTTTCTTGGTAAATAATTATTATATGTAATTGTATGACTGTTGTTTCTCAAATATAATACACTATTTTATTAAGTTCTGAGCAGAATGAAACGATACAGTGAAGACCGATAACAAATATAAATAAAGTAAATAATTATTCAAATTTAATTTACCAGTATGTCCCCGTACAGTTGTCATTGTTGTACATGCGCATGACCGGATATCGAACGCAGTTCCTGTAGGACAAGGTCTCACTACTGTTCTATTTTCTGTTGTCTCTATGTAAAAGCTGGAGTCTTTTTTAAAAGGCAGCAGCTTGCAGTGTTCATTTTCTGGACAGAGAAAAAATATTCATTATGCAAAACCATTCTCTCTTTAAAAAACTACGCTTTGGGTAACATAGAAATCTTAAATTGCATTAAAAACAATTTAAACTGCTGCAATATATATACACTGAAAAACCATGATAGACGAAGAAAACCAATCTGGAAGAGTAAAATGCTAGGAATGTCTACATCTGCATATATTCCCTCAAAGTCATATGACTTCTTTTAGGATTTGATTGCACTGAATTGATGATTTTTTAACCAAATTGTTTTGTCTTGTCTTAAATATTTTGAATCTAGATTACATAGATAGACCATGTAAACATTGTAAAGACCAGTTGTAGAAGAAATCTATCTGATTGAAAAAAATTTAAAATAGTTGATATTTAACGGAAACAAAATTGGCTACGATTGGTTACGCATAGTGACAATTTATTAATGCCAGTTGAGCAATTTTGGTTCTTAGAAGCTTATAGTTAATAGTTATGTTATAATCATTTATTATAACAGACATTACAAAAACAGATTAAAGGTTAAAAAATAAATGGAGAATATGGCCATGGGACACAGATGATGCCCCCGCTTGCATATAACGTTATAAAGGGACATAACTACAGAAATGTAAAAGTGAAGCCACCCAAATTCGAATTTGATCTGTGTTTCGTGATAATAAGCATTTTGTATAAGTTTCATAACATTTGGTTAAGGCAAACTAAAGTTAGAGAACGGAAACTAATTTATGGACGTACGTATGGACGTACAGACGGACGGACGGACAGGGGTTAACACTTAATGCCTCCAACGCCGCGGCGGGGGCATAAACAAGGCTTCCAAGTATTACAAATTTTAAAGAAATGTTCTTATTACATGAAGTAACAGAAGCTATTAATAAACATACTTATCAATGGCAAATTGAAGAATGATTATTAGTTTATACCTGATACCATTGTTGTGTCCGTGTTATCGACGGTGTTTGACTCTGCGAGAAATTTTCTTCGTACTTCATTGCCAGGACGAAATCTGGTTTGACGCCTATAATTCCATCTCTCAGGAGCATCATCATTTTTGATTGATTGCTGGTTATGAGTCTTATCATTAATGTTTGATTCCTTACTTATAGATTGCATAAGTGTCTTGATATTTCGCCATTCTACTGATGGAGTTGGAACGATGCGATCACGCTTTTTCTGTTTCTTTTTTTTAGGTTTCTTCTTCTGTTTTTTTCTCTTTATCATTCGATCGTGTTCTAACATTACAAAATCTAACAGCGAGGCGACCTGTTGTCTTAGATCCTTAGAAAATCCAAAGAATCCATGATTACTTAAAGGAGAGTTTTGTTTATGGTTCATCTCAATTAGTCTTCCTTTTGGTGATTTGACAGATTTTTGCATTTTTTTCTGCCGGCTTGGTGCGCTTGTTATATCCCGCATTGCGGTTGTTGGACTGACAGTTGATGAAACGACTATCGGAGCTTTATTTGCATTTGATCTTGAACTATAAGTAATAGAATTTGGTGCCAATGTTAAGGGGGTCTTTTTTGTGGGCTCAGTAAGTGTATGACCTTTTAAATTTTTCCTAAAATCAACCTCTTTGAGAAACTTGTTTGCTTTTCTGGAGATTTTCTTTTTCAATTTCGGTGTTTGTGACATATTTGATTTTCCAGGTTTCTGATTAGATATTTTGTGTTTCAACATGGCAAATGTTGACTTCTTTGGCTCTTTCACTTCATCTTTGCGGATTTTATACATTATCCTCTTTGCTTCTTTTTGAATTTCACTTTCCGTTTGTTCAATAATTTTATTACTAACGGGCACCACTTTTGCACTTTTATTTTTCAGCGATTCATTTTCATTCACTTTTGATACAGTTTCACTTTTTTCTGATGAAGACGTTTTATTTTTTGCCAAAAGTCCTTGTTCCTTTTTAGTAGATATATCATTATGTACACTCGGCGATGATCGGTATGTATCGTCGTCTTTTACGTTTGACTTCAAATCCGGAACCATTTCAATATTTCCATTTTCTCTTATATGTAAGATGTATTGGATTTCTTTGTCATTATCAGAATTTCCTATCACGACTTGGTCCAAATCTATTGTCTTGGAAGATTTTACCGGAGAAGCCTCTTCTTTCGTATCTACGACAAAATTATTTGTATGATCACCAAATACTTTCTGGGTTTCGACTTCATTAATGTTTACAAATTTTTTAATCGAATTGTTTTGACCTTTTGTTAATGGTTCTACACTATCAACAATTGAATCCCATATTGTTTGCTTCCTTATACCAAGCAATGGTTCGTTGTTAAGTGATTTGGTATTTGTTTGATATGCTGATGGTGTTGATACTGTATTTTTGAGTAAGCCTGAAATTAGATTTTAAAAGTACATTTTATTTACACGAAACAATTTTTATATAGACACATGTATTTGTCTCCTGATACCAATCAACATTTTTGCAATGATTATAATTGCTCAATTCAGCTATTGAGTCAAATGTAGATAATATTTAGTACTTCTTGCACTCTTAGAACTGTATTTTTCATTTGGCGAAAAACTTTTTTGTTTTTTGAAGACTTTCGGAAAGCATTCGATACGGTATCAAGATCTGGTTTATGGGAAAAACTTCAATTTAGTAATATTAAAGGGAATGTTTCAAAGTTATCAAGGAATGAAATCATGTGTAAAATATAATGGATGTCAGTCAGTATATTCGTGTTATCAGTTGCAATTTTAGTTTGTTACCTTAATTTGTCTCTTTCTAGTCGATTTTAGAGATTTGAACACGGTAAACTACTGTCACTTTAATTTATATGATCATTTGAAATATGTCATTGGAAGACCCGATGATTTGTTTTGATTTTTTTACTTAACCTTACGTACATTTTAATCCCCTTTTTCAACAACAACAACAAAACAAAACAAAAAAAACACACACGAAAACACAACTTTTAAACTATGAAAACGATGTCTTTACCTTCATAACTACAACACCTACAATTTATGAATATGAAGAAAGTTGATATGCAAATAAATGTTTTTATACGTTATTGATTTCTCTAACCCAAGTAATAATTTGTTTGGATATATGAATTATCATATACAGCCCGCTTCAATCTGATTGGAATACAGATCTTGTTTCCACACTTTGTTTAGCTAAGCGTGGACACAGGTTCTGTATTTTAATCAGATTGAGACCGCTTATTCGTTAAAACTCTTTAATGTATATAAAACTTCCTTAAGTCCAAGTACCTTACCTTCTGTAAAATCGTTTGTTTCATATTTGTATCCAACTTTAAAATGGTCTGAAGATTTTGTCTTTTCGTGTCCTTTCGTATTGTCTTTAATTTTTGGGAAAGTAATTCCGTTCATATTAAACAAATTGTTCCACGTATTTGTTTTACTGTCACTTGATGTTGCAAATATGTCATTAACAGACTTAGCTCTCCAGTATGATTTCTTGGAACTTTTTAGCTTAGATTCCTTCTGGCCTATTGTATTATCGGATTTATTGCTTTTAATATCTCTCTTTCTTCCTGCTGAATTTTTCTTGAATACTCTATTATTTTTTTTCTCGTCCCCGTCTTTCTTATTTACTAGTACTGGTAAATGAATAAAGGATTGTGTCTTCATTTTGGCGGGCTTTTCAATTTTCTTGGTCTTTGTCTTTATTTCGGATCTATTCCTTCCTGTTCTATTTTTCCTCTCACCAGCCAATATTTTCTTCTTGCGGTTAGAATTTGCACTGATTCTACTTTCTGATTTGGATTTACTTGTGTTCCTCGTGTTAAGTATACTGCTTTTGGATTTTTCAGCACTGTTTCCCTTATAAAACTGATTGTCTATGAGGCCAGACCGCTGAGGTAGCACATTGGATATCCCTTTATTGCCATTGTTACCAATAATGGATAATTCAACGTAAGGTTTAAATAAAAATATGGATTCATACGATGTTGGTTTAATAGAACCAGCTTGAAAACCTGAAAAAAATTGTAATTTATTAGTGAATGATATACATATTTAGAATAAATTTATTTGTGATAAAAAGTTTCCTTCTAAATTTTTGTTTAACGTTTCCTCCAATAATCTCAAAGTTATTATGGAAATTTTAGCTTCCAATCGAGATTGTGTACTTATTTGGAAAAGTAACTGTCTGTGCCATTGGTATATGAATATAAATAAGGAGATGTGGTAAGATTGCCAATGAGACAATTGTCTATTTTTCTACTGTCTTGCTTTTTATGGTCTTGTTTTCTTGTCGTTTGTCTGTTTTTCGATCAAATTTCCTTATTGAAACTAAACATAGATGTCCACGCAATGCATATAACAATGTACATTATTCCTATCATTTGCATAATTTTGTGACTGCGTCAAAATTAGATAAAAATTACATTTCTGACGTACATACATCAGAACAAGTAGTTTTAAATTAACCTAATTTTTTTTTACCTGGACAAATTAACTCGTGTAATTTAGCTGACAGGGAAAACAAAGAATTAAACGTGTCGACTTGTAAAATGTTGTTACTGTCACTCGTGATGCCAATCAGTTCACTCCGTGAGACCCCCCTGCCAACACCGATGGCAAACAGTGCTATTTGTTCCTGTCGAAGCTGTCGAGCCTCACGGAAGGATTGCCACAATATTCTAGAACGCCCGGATGTAATTAGTACAACTGCACGTTTTGCATCTGGTCTCCCTTCCTTTCGGAATAGTTCCTTCACTGATTTTAACGCATTGTTTATAAGCAGGTCACCAAATGGTTGTGCCATGTCTGATATTTTATGTATATAGTCTCCATTATTTACGGATACTTTGAAATCTACGGTTTCCCATACTCCATCTGAGAATAGCAGAACTCCGATCCGAACTCTGTCTGGTGAAATAAAATATTCCATCGTTTGTGATGACAAAAATGCCTTCTCTTGTATAAAGTCTGATGGTGACACAAGGCTTGATCCATCAACCAGGAAAACCAAGTCCAAAGGTTCACCACAGCCTTATTAAAAAAAGCAAAACATTATGAATGCACGTACATATTATTTTATAGAGGCAAGGAACAATCCGATTTTTCTCTCTCAAAATTTTATCCATTTTATCCATTTAGCTTATACTGAAATTACATTCTGAAAAAAAGACTAAAACATTGTAATTTGGCATTTTCCGTCAAGTTCATACATGAGGATTTAAATGCGGGGATCGTCATTTAAGTATTCTTTTTATTTTAAAGCCATTCTGCTCTATCCTTAATTTTTTTGTCCTTTACTCTATATTCTTTATAGTTTAGCATCCCATTGTTCTCATTCTATTTTTATTGACCAATTTTCTGTATTCTAAATGTCTTGGCCCATTATTCTCTATTCTTTAAAACCCATCAAGACTTCATACATTAATACCGTTGAATGATTTCACATGGTTCTCTTTATAATGTAAATTCGCTAGCATAATATTAGTATTTCGAATCATATTTACAAAGAAAAGAAAACACATCAAATTGAAAGTTCAAACTTGAAAAGACTATGCACGTCGTATAACCAATTTAAAAAATGACAGTGTGTACAAACCCATTCCAAACTGTTTTAAAAAATGGCGTTTACTCACCACAACACATTTCAAATAACAAACTAAATATGCAGAACAGAATCATCCTGCCTCGTTCAACCACTGGCTAAAGTATGTATCTAAGTTCTGCCAAAACAGGACAAGATTTTGTAAATGTATAACACAAAAATAACACTGAACATGCATAATTAAATAACAGCGCCATTCATAACGTGCCTGTTTTAAGTCATGGGTCTCTCCTTGTTTGGCGTCTGTCATTATTGTATTTTGTTTGATGTTATTGGGTTAAAGTTTTCTTATTTTAATATTTTTACATATAATTATCCGGGTTCTTTTTATAGCTTTTGCTAAATTATGGGTTTTCTGTTCATTGTTGAAGGTTACGTGTAGCTATTTACATTGCATGTCCTTTAGTCTTAGTGGATAGTTATCTCATTAGCAATCATAAAACGTCTCCTTATTTTTATATACGAAACTTAATTCGTACCTGTACGAAGTTGCACTGTACAATTATGTTGTTTATAGTTTGTCTGTCTATGTTTTGATTCTTAGACTAGTTTGAAGTTAGTACAGTTAAGTTTTGTGGTTACTATTTTCATGCAGTAGTTCATGTTATAATTTTTAAGTATTAAAACAATTGGTCATTGTTGCATTTCATATATCCATGTACCTTTGATATGAAAGATTTAATACAAGAATATGCAGCAAACATGTGTTTATAATGTAAATTAAAATATTGATTCAAATGCCATATATCCTAAACAGTTAAATATTAATTATCAAAATAAGAAGATGTGGTATAATTGCCAACGAGACAACTCTCCACAAGAGACCAAATTTAAGGCATTTACTGCCTTAAAGTTTGTATTTTAGTTCTGTTATAAAAAAAAATTGAAAACTTTTTTTTAATACATTTTCCTGTATTTTCACTCTGATTCTAGATGAATGTTACAAAAAAGTGCAAGTACTAAGATTAATAGGTTTAACATATTAAACAGCAAATTTCTAACAGATTTGAATTTTAAGAAATTAATGATAACTTACCATTAATAGAAAATCCATATATATGAATTGTAGTTATGATTATTCCATCCGACAATCCCGCAAAAGAATTTCAGTCTAAATGTTTAGTAAACAAGATCGTGTCCTAATTTGCATAGTTTAAAAAAATTCATGTAATTTTTAATATTCTTTTGGACAACAAAAAACATATTTAACTGTCATGCAACTAATCATATAGTTATAATTTAACATACATTCGGTTGTAAAAACGTATGTTAAAACATGCATTCGCCATTTGACTAAAATCTTGAATATGTAAATCATTCCATTGTGGGAATTTTCTAAATTGACGGTTACAACTCATTGCGACTAAAATAAATGAAAACAACACATTATAAATTTCATATGTCCGAGGCGCGTTTCTAGAATTACCTTCATCAAAAACGCTCAAAGCCGAATATATGAAAGCCAAGGATGTATAATAACGGAAACAGTTGAAGAGCTGTATGATCAAAAAGGACCTTAAAAAATAGCCAAACCATCTAAGGTCAACTTTACCCTAGGGACTGAGCTGGGAATAGGATACAGTCAATATAGTACATAAATGATCCAGGATTAAGTAATTTTTTGACGGTTTGGGCTGTTTTCTTATGACGTATATTTTGCTTTGGAACAGATTTAATCCAAAAACACGCGTCACGTGCATTAAAATTTATGTCTTCTATTATTCAATTTAGAATATTATCCAAATTAGCACTATTGGAAATATCCCCGATTATTGCGTTAAGTACGTTCTAAATCAGCGACTTGTACCTTAATTCCTCACATCAAAGTCGATCAATTTAATAGCTGCTTTGACGGAGACGATACTGTGTCTAATAACTGCTCCATTTAGTGCTTTCGAAACACACGAGTAGCTTCAACGGTTTTCCAACTTTGTACAGCGATAGTGCACAGATAAAAGATGTTCATTGTCTGTACCTCCAGCAGTTTTTCTTCAACAGAATTTAGACTTTGGAAATATAGAAGATATGCTCAGGTTCCCAATGTAATGTTTTGTCATCGAGTGTTATATTGTGTATCCAGTTTGTGTCATTTGTTACTAAAACAGGTTTTTCCAAAAAAAAATTTTTAACTTTGTTCAGTGATTTGCTTACTAATCTTTTCGGAATTGTTTTACATACTTTTTGGGTTTGAAAAATAATGATGATCTGCTAGCCATTCCAAAGAACCACTTAATTTTGTTTTAAAGCAGAAGTATACATGATCTATATATTTCAGATCATCTAAACGAAATTTATTTCTCAAAAACCATGTCTTACACACAATGCAAATATTGCTTAAATTAGTTATACCTTTCTCACACTTCACTCAAGTCCAGTCTTATCTAATATTTCATATTATATTGTACTTTTGTTTTTGTTTTTGTTTATAATTTTTAGTATATGCATATAAACTTATTAAAAATATTCTGTTTTTCGTCATTATCTTGTGTATTTTGTGCTTATATTTGTATATGAAGAGGACGTCACTAATGTTATTATAGTTTGTGTCCAATCACTTTTGCCACTTTTGTAAATAAAATATGTTTAAACTAAACTCTCTGGGATGTATTGTTATAGTGGTAAATAATATATTCTTAAGCCTGAGAATTTACTTAACCCTGTAATGGGAACAACCACATTCGTGTATTTTGATTGGTTTGTCAGTATGACAATTGACGAAAATCTGCACCTTTTCAGTTTATTTGGCACTAAAGGTTTTTCATCAAATTAACCCCAATAAAACGCATGCTAACGCATGGAATATTTGTGTTGTAGTCTCTAAGGCAAAGTTGCCCAAAGACGATTTTGTTGGCCCAGTTACGATTATGTCCGATTTTGATACTCTTAAATATTTCCCTTTTTATGTGAAGTTCCTGTGAAAGAATATAATCCATATCCCAAAAAAACAATATTTGTGATATAAAAAAATATATTACCTTTGTAATGTATAAATAAAGATGTCAAAAAGCAAGCAAAAGACATTAGTCTAAGAAAAACAGATAAGACAATGGACAAAATAAAAACAACGCAAAGACAATAATCCAAAATACCCTTCACACAATAAAAGGGAGACATCCGTCTGCGTCAAAAACGTTTGCTCTTGTGCCATAACTCATTAAGGTAGATAGAGTGTCTTCCTCCATCTTGGATTTTGTAATACCTGAAAAAAATCGGTCTAGATCTTTAATAGAATGTGCAAATTTTGAGAGTAGTAGGTAATTCATGTGTAAGAATTTTCATTTCAATATAGAAAATGACATGTTTTATCATATTTATGGTTGTATTTTACAAAAAAAACAGAATACTTTTGTTTGATTCAATTTTTTCCAACTTTGACACATAAGGGGAGGCGAGGCAACTCAAATGTAAGGGCAGATAATTCAGATAAAGGTACTTTTACAATAGATTGTGTTAGGAATTTACCTATTTTATTATGTAGCAAGAAAACGGTTCCGGTGACCCCATTTTTTCTTTTTCTTATCTGAAAGCATACTATTAAAGATATCTTCTCATATTTTATCTCAAAATTCCTTGGTGTAGTTTTCGTTTTATGGCAGAAAATTGGGTTTTCCATGCATAATCTTTACAAAATCTGTTAATTTTGAACAACCTGTAGCGTGAAAATAAGCCCCGTGATCCATTCTTTTTATCATTTTTTTTTAAAAAGCTTGATATAAACTACATTTTGGCAAATTATTAAAAAATTCTATGGATTATAATTTAAACACCCCATCTACCTTAAAGCCATTAGTTTGAGAAAATACCTACCAGTATCATTTGCTTCATACATGATATATCTAGTATGCCTATGCTTATATGAAATCTTATTTTTATTAAAACAATGAGTCTCCATACAATTTTATGACCGTCATGCAGTTTACCCTAGTCTAGCTTGAAGGCTGATATTTGTAGCTTTTTCAACTGCTTATATATAATACTTTTCTGAATTCTGCGTTTCTTACGGCTGTTGCTTTTGTATTGCGCAAATCAATCATTTGAAAGGTAATGTGTATCAAACAAATGTTGGACATACGTTGGACAGCCTTTTTCACAAAAACTAAATAATATCTAACATATTATGATCTTTGATGGTCTCTCGGATACCATTTATGGTAATTTTTGGTTTGTAAGGCGTAAGTGACGCTCTTACTTCTGTGGGTTGGTCTCGTGCAGATATGATAGAAATCCATCTTACACATTAAGGGAGCTACTATTTGATTTTTAAGGAGGGGGAAGGGGGGGGGGCGGGGGGGGGGGGGGGGGGGAGGGGGGGGCTAGGATGAAAAATTTTGTCCTGCATAATTTTTTAGTTGTAATCTCTGTCCTGCCTTTTTATTTTTCACTCTATTCGGTCCTGCTCTTTTTTTTTATTAGTTTATCCTGACTTTTATTACATAAATTGTCAACCTGCCCTTTTTTTTTTTTTTTTGCCAAGTTGCTTATCCTGCCCTTTTTTTTTTTGCCAAGTTGCTCATCCTGCCTTTTTTTTACTCAAAACTCCTGTCCTGCCTTTTTTTCAAATTTCATCCTATCATCCTAGCCCCCCCCCCCCTAAAAATCAAATGGTAGCTCCCTAATGTACTGCTCACCTTGTAAAAAGATAACAGTACAGTCTTTTGTTGATTAAAGTCATCTCTCTTCTTTATTCCTCTTATAATGCATTTATAGTCGTGTTTATTCCATAATTTATTGTATTCAAAGTATAATAATTCATATAAAGACATAACTGTAACAGGTAATCATTTGTAAATTAACAAATAGTTAACAGGTAATTTGGCTTCTGGCGCAATAAATACCTTTGAAAAAATAAAATTTGGCTCAAATTATATATCTTAAAACATAGAAATTAACACGAAAGGACTGCAGCCGACTAATATACAAACCCTACAAACAGCTCTGGTAGAACTCAGTAGCTTCAGAAGGATCAGCAGTTTCTGCTCGACAAACAATACCCACCAATGCTATTCTTTGCTCTTCTTGCTCGGATTTAGAATACCTAAATGGCGTATAAGTGTACCACTCTCTGTTTGCGCTGATTAAACTTAAACTGTTTCATGCTTAATTGTCAGACTTTGACACTTTTGACTGTGAGTGCTCATTTTGAATGTTAGTCCAAGAAATGGATTTCAACGTTTTTTTTTTCAATATTCTAGTGGTAAGTCGATACTTCTGGTAGGGTTTATAGTCTTTAGTTCTATAGTTTTCCCCAAAACCCGAGACCTTTTGGTAGGAAATCACCATTAGAAATTTCTATGAAAGATTTTACCGTTTTATATTATTTACAAATTACATGTATGCAAAGCTGCTCGTACAAAGTTGTGTTTGTTGTGACAATCTTTAGTTCATAAAAATCAATAATTGGCGCAGAGTAATTACTCTTTTTGACCTTTGAGTCTCGCTCATTTTCATTGATTTCAGTTAGTATTTAAGATATTCCTTTGTTCATTTCTGGGGTCTTTGCTGCATTTTCCGGTATCTGTCATTGAAATAAGACCCTATTTGAATAATTCACCCCTTACACTTTTGGTAAGTATGTTTACCCCTTATTATTTCTTTCTATTCAAACTTTGTTGTATTTTGGCTTGCCTTACACTGCTACTATATTTTGGGATTGAGATGGCTACCAGTGGAAACCTGAAGAAAAACTAAGGAATTATAAGTTCTCAAATTGGGGTTAAGGATGTTTGCTCCTCTTGTTTTGGAATTTTTGCCAGATATTCGGAATCTTCTGGTTTTATCCATGTAGTGCCATTAAAAAATTTGCCCGCTAACTCCTACTTTTCTTTTCATAATTTTATAACATATAGGTTAAAAAGCCATATTTGAAAATCTTATTAAAATCCTTGTTATTTTTTCATTGTTATTGAAAGAAAAAAGGTGTCAATGTTAAATGTATGAAAAATCTAGAGAGAATCATTTCCCGCCAAATTTTCAATGGCTTATATCTCGAAAACAAGCACACGGACCCTTAATTTTTTTCTGCTTTTTTAGTTCCTTTATTTACATTCTTTCAATTTAAAACAGTCTTTTAAAAAGCTTGTTATTTTGAAACAGAGTAGCAAACATCCTTAATATTCTTGACGTCAGTGATCTACTATCTGACATCGTTTATAGGTCAAAGGCTATACAGTGACATCTACATCCTTTGGTGTCTGGTTGAGAACGGTCTCATTGGCAATCATACCACATCACCTTATTTCTATGTACATAAACAAGTTTTTTACCTTTCGTTTTCCTAATACAAAAGTATTATACGTTATTCAGAAAACAACGGTTCCATTTGCCAGCAGTGAACTATTTTTTCTTTAAGTCCACAACCAAGGAATAAGAAAACTATTTTCTAATCATATTAGACAGATTAGTAAATATCAGGCTATTTATAGTATCAAACATCTTTAAAATGAATAAAAGGATATGTTGTTAAACGTCAGTGAGAGAGCTACCCACCAACAAAATATATAATAAGAAAAAGATATCTGGGCGCAACATACAGTCTACCACAATAGACAAGTGTATATGCACTATGTTGAGCTTTCCGTTGTCCTTACCCAAAGGGTGACTGCAAGGGGCATGGAAAAATGGTCACTTGGTCTTCTTACGACCGACATTAACCCTTGTCAAAGTGTGACGTCCATCAGGCTGATCGGGATGTAAACATTCAGCCAGTTCCGGTCACAATTGGGATGTTGAATCCGATGCCACGCATATAGAGAGTACCTGTGCGTTTCAAAACCATTGAAACAACTCTTTTAGGAGTCCTATATTGGCTAGCTGCTAGGCGTTCTGCCCAATCCAACAGACCATTGTTTTTCAGTGACAGTCCAAACTTTCCAAATAACAAAAGCATAAAGCATATTAAAACTAAAACGTTTATTAAACTATAACATTACTATAACATTAACATAATATAAAACATAAAACAAAAGTATTGTATTGTTAGAAAGAAATGAATGAATATATGCAGTTCACTTTATATCAAAAGACATTTCACTTGAATAACATACATGACAGATCTTATCTCTTAAGGGTGAAATATTACATAAAGTGACAATAAAAAAATCTTAATAAATATGCAATTTACATTTAATAAAGTATAAGTATTATTAAGATTAATTGAAAATTACAAAGAAGGCAAATGTTTCATTTTGTAGTAATTTAATGTTAACTTATACAAATTTAATCATCTTTTAATGGTTTTTTTTATAGTTGGGTACTTTCGAATTGACGTTTTTTTTATATTGAGTACTAATTACCCCCACACAATCTTTTATTCATTACCAATGGGACAAATAAATCATCTTCTTGGTTTAATCACTGATTTTTTCATGGCAGGGCACTTCCGATTTATGTGTTTAAGAAAGGGAACGTAAAATACATGACTGGTTAAGATTACTCAGTCAACAGATTCATTTACACATATGATAAAAACATTACTTAAAAGGGGATCCTTGTCTTATGCAAGATGTCTGAAATTAGTGGTATGAAAATGCTAGTTAGTTTATATAAATGCAATCAGTATCTTTCGTGATAGACCATCTTTTATGTCGTCTGAGTAATAACATATATATAAATGAAACTACTAATTTGATATATACCGAAGTTGATAACGCATATATGATGCATAATTTATTTTATACTGCTAGTGTTACTTCAATTTCATGACATTAGAATTAAAATAATTTTCTTTTTCAAGCACATGAAGCAAGAATCAAGAAAAAGAAAAATCCTAAAAAAACAACGGTAGAATTAGAAAATTTTGCCAGAAAGTTTCAATAATATCCTTTATATAATTTCATTAAATACATCTTAGGCTACATCCCGGCAAAGTTTACTTAAATATGTACTTGTTATTTCTTTAAATAATTTGAAGGTGAAAATATTTCTATGGAGTTTCTCTTCCAATTTTTAAATGTATGATATATCACAAAAACAGGCGTACGTTTACGCATTTTTTGGACTTAAACTGCTTTTATTAATTAAACAAGGTCTGTCAATAAAATTAATAGTATATATTTTGGAAGCTTGTTATTCTGAAACTCACTAGCGATCTCCCTTCATCCCGTCTTCTGACATATTTTTAAGGTATTTTATACTGATTGTTTTACCGTATAGAAGCGTTGACCGAAGCACATTTTGTATGAAGCGCAGAAACGGTTCATACTAAAAATGTGCGCACGATCAACGCTTTACAACCTTATAAAAATACAAAAAGAAGCAATTAATTACATTTTTATATAAAAACCATTAAACTACGAGTAATAGCAAATTATTCGTTTGTTTTCATATGCATTGTTGTGAAGTTGTCATGAGAAGCACGTGCTATCATTAAAATTGAATTTTATTGAGAAATACAATTTGATATTTGAATGCCTTGTGATTGCTTCCAGCCAATCAAAAGTACTGATTCTTATGAAACATACATGTAATGTAATTATTAACAAATGAAATACAATATGAGTATATAAAATATTTTCTAGGAGAATCCTTGTAAGATTAAAAATAAATAATAAAAAAACTATACAAATATGATGAGACTTTAAGCCTCGATTTAAAATAAAACATCTACGTCAGTGGTATTGAAATTGATGGTACATATTGTCAATATATCTGATATATTCAGGCACAGTTTTCTAAAACCCATATAAAATTTCTAACATGTTCAAACTGGCTTCCGATAATGCAAATGAAATACAACTTATCACTTTTCTAGATTTATCTTCATCAGAAACCCTCAAACCTTAACATTTGAATCCAGAGATGCATAAATACATAGAAACAATATGGGCTATATGATCAAAGGGTCCAAAGGGTCCAAAGGATTCTCTTGATCAATGGTTAATGGAAAAAAAATCTGAGCATATATTCTATTAACTCTTTTAAAGTCTAGATCAATGAAAAAAACTATAAATGATAAATGACTACAAAAATACGTAAAATAGTTTAGAATGAGCAATTAGAACATCATTTAAATACACATGATAAATTCACTTGCTTGGGAAATGTGTTACATTCTTGCTGCTGTCGAGACTATTTCAATTGATTTTAAAAGAAGACCATAATTATCAAATTCTGTAAATGATTTTAAGTAAATTAGAACATTGCCAACAAAATACGCTTTTCTTATCTCTTTATAGCTAGTCTCTATCCCTGAGAACATTTTTATCGTATGCACCAGAAATTTTTTAAAAACCTATTGTGGGTTTCAGAAAATAATATACTGGTTCTCTCCCCTTTGTGACATACTGTTACCTAAGTCACAGTTTTACCAAAAATACCTGTTAGAGTCAAACAATTAATAAGGACAGGGAACTAGCGACCAGAAAACAGTCTTTGCATAATAAACACATATCATTCAAAGTCTTCTCTCCTATATTCACCTGAACCAAGGGCATGGTTATCAGAAATTAGTAGGCTAGTCTCCCCTTTGCAACCATTCGGTTATCTAAGTCACCGTTTTTTGCCAGAATATCTGTTAAGAGTCAAACAGTTTTCAAAGACAGAAAACGAGTGAACAGAAAATAGTCTTTACATAATAGAATCATATATCATTCAAATTTAATACGAAAAGTATTCTCATCCTTTCAAAAAAGTTTTTACTATTCATGAGATCTGCTAAATCAGTTTTTTTTTCTCTGTAAAATAATTAAACAAAATAATTAGTTTATTTATATTAAATCAAGATAATATTCTTATTTGTCAGGTAAACTGCAGGACTGTATAAATGCATGTTTTTCTTCTACAATGGTTTCGCAAATCTATACATGATTTTAAAAGAAACAATTATAACAAACCTTTCTTAGTAGTTGTCTTTTTATGTTTTTGTCATTTTTTACGATTTTATATTGATATACGATCTTTTATTGTATCTGTTGAATTTAATATACATATTTTTTTCTAGACTCGTTCCGATTGAGAGCCTGATAATTGTTTGATTTGAAGACCGTATGTTGAGATGGCTATGTTGTGGGTTTTGCTGTCTCATTGGCGTACCCCAACATCTCCTGCTATAATAAAACAAAATAAAATTCCAATCTTTGTGTCCACATAAGTTAATACAAGACAAGATCAATTGTGTTTTATATTCAGTTACTCATTGATGTGTTTTTATACTTCAAATAAAAGGTAAAGAAATACGTTTGTGTTGAGTTCCATACGCGTTCATCAGAAGCCCTATAATTCAAGCAAAACAGGGATACTTACACTAGAAGCTATATAAACAAATGCTGCCTGAACCTTTCCAGGAGGCAGATCTATGCTAAGGGACATAACTCTCAAAATCACTGTTATGTTTGTGTCAGTCATTCTCATACTTTGTTTCTATGCTTTTCAGTAACATAGATTGTTTTAATTCTGTTACTGATTATTGCATGAAAAACAACGACGAAACTACCTGTTAATAAACGCATAACTGATTTGTAAAGATATTACCGTTCACCCTCGAGTCCCCTTAAATAATGTCTATTGGTACTTACAACTGACATCATCATAAATATGAGAACCTGATTTAGGTATCGATGGCAACCGTCGGTTAATAACTGGTGTAGATACTTTTGAATGACCTTTGTATTCAACCCGTGCTAAAAATATTATATAAAGAAAACTAAAAATGTTAGCTTCTAGTTCAAATCAAAATTTGCAATGCCATGTATGTTCTATTCTTCTGCTAGTTGTGTTAGAGAATGTAACTTCAGTGATTTGGTAAGTTAGCTTGCATATATATTCTAGATTTTGTCTTATCTGACAGGAATGATCTATTCATTAACGTAATTGGTTTATTATTCGTCAATTCTAACATGTACATGGTATTTCTGAACAGTAGGAAAAAAATGCAAATTCATCTAAGTGAGTAGTGATATTAATTCTTAGACATTTGATGCTTCTCTCATTTCTGCAAATAAACTGCAACAAACTCATGGTTGAAATAAGTGTTAGAAAGCAGAAGTTAAGACCAGTTGCATAGGTAACTGGACCAACCTATTTGATATATGACGTTAATCTACTTCATGATAGATTTTGTTGCCGATGCTATGCTCAGGCGCGGATCCAGCAATTTATAAAAAGGGGTTTCAACACATTCAAGTCATATAAAAAGGGGTGGGTTCCAACCATGTGTCCCAATACCAAAAGCATTAGTTATTAGCATTTTGAATGTACTTAATGATCACGGACAGGATAAAAGGTCTTTATTTTCAATGGCTTATTTTCTTTGACGGTATGTGGTATGATTGCGGCCAATTAGACAACTGTCTACCAGGGTCCAGGGTTCACATGACGTAGATGTAAGCAATTATAGGTCACCGTATCGCATTCAACATTGAGACAAACCCATAACGTATGTCAGCTATAAAAGGCCCCGACATGACTGTTTGATAACCATTCATCATTTTATCATGCTGAATCCAAAAAGTAATTTTTCTTCATTCTTACAAAATCTATGACTTGCAGCTAGGAAAATAACATAGTATGGCTATATATTAATACTATTGATAATTTAAGGCTTTTGAACCTTTACTAACAGATCCATGTGTTAGATTGAGGCATTAAATTCCTGAATTTTTTGAAAAATGTGTCGTTCAAAAATATTGAAAGATCCTAACCGTCATTTATGTTACGATAACGTGATACTGGTAATGATGGTCAATAGCGGACCATGCTTTAATATCCTTACGGAACACCTTATATCAAAACCCTGTTTTTGCATGTTTTGTGTTGCCCAATGCAAATTTAAGCTACGAAAAATACTTGTTGTCTTTTCGTCTTTTTAATCATTGTAGTTGTGTTTTTGTGCTGCTTCAACTCAAGATGTCGTACAATCTCCGTACAGCGCTCGTTTCCTTTCCGTATACTCAGTACACTACAATACAATGACCTCGAGGTCATATTAAGTGTAGGGATACGAAGTAAGTACGGAACGGATGTGAGCTCTGCGCCGGAGATTGGATGTCGTATTGCTCCCTTAGTTTTTCTCATTTAGTCTTTACTTTTCAAATGTAGGGCTTAAATTTGGATAAAATTTCATTCAATTCTTCATTACCTGGATGTCTGTTTCCAGTTGTGTGTTTGGTTATAAAATGATCTATATCATTGTCTATATTACATTTTTCCAGTACAACTCTCACGTTTTCACAACACTGAAAAGACAAAACAGCAATTATAGAAAGTAGATGATAAAATTTAAAGCATGACAAATTCATGCAAATGCCCAATGATTTGATACATATTTCAATCTTGATGTTAGTAATTCTGCCACACCACAAAAATGATACAATAAGTTTTTTTTATCATGCAATCGGCCAAATGTTGTAAAAAATAACAGGTACACAATTATCATTTTGCTTTAATTGTACATTATACAAATATTGTCCCCTGGTATCCTGTTTCAATGTTGACAAATTCTGTTTACGTAACATGTTATATTCGATTCCTCTTTGCGGTTCGCGTTTAAACAAAGTCGATAATGGTAAAAAGTAAAATTCATTTAAGAATCGATATCAACTAATGTATATACAAGTATAGTTTAAAAATATGCGTAATTAAAAATATGAATTAAAACAAATGCGGTAATGCTAAAAATGCACTCTCTTGAAAGTTGATATGATCCTTCCAAGGATAACCCATGCAAGCGTTTCCGCTAATTTCCAAATGGGTCCTTAAAGTGTACATCGCTTATATTAAAAAGTTTTTAAAAAATTAAAAAGGAGACATGGCATTAACTGAATTTTAGTCTAAAATAAAGATACAAATTCACTTATTTTTCAGATGTTGCTTTACTGCAGTTTTGAATGCGTCCTGGTCATGTATTGATTTTATATCATTTCGAAGCGCATTCCAATCTTTAATAGGATGAAGGAAAAAAGACGTTGAGTTCACTGTGTTAATTTTAGGAACAACACAATTGATCTATAGTGTTCTATCCGTGTTGTTCTTCGACTTTTCTATAAAAAAACATCCTAGCTGAGATAGCAATCAGACGAAATAAATACTTTTAGAAAACTACATGAAGTGGGGGTGTCTATACAATATGTCTAGTTCTAATTCGACCAGAGTCTAAAATGTTGTGAATACTTTAAAAAGAAACTACCAAATATCTACCATCAACACCTCTAAAAAGCATTAAGAATATAACCAGGTTAAAATGGTTTATTTTTATATTATCTCAACCCTCTCCCTTGTAATCTCATAAGGGGACGACCATTTGATTTTCGAAGAGAGCAGGGGATTTTTATTTCAGATGGAATGGTACAATCATTTACCTGGATTTATTTATACAGAATATTCATTTACATCCTGTCTTGCACATAATTATTTTTTTCCAGTTCTTACCATGCCAAGATATTCATTTCCAACATCCTCTTCACCCCCAGACTATCAAATTGTCGTGAAAATAAAGTATACCTACCTGATCATGATCAACATTTATTTTAGCCTGTGAGTCTATGTTTGTACACTTCCTGTACCTACCAGATCGCGATCAACATTAGCCTGTGAGTCTAGTATGTTTGTACACTTCCTGTACCTACCAGATCGTGATCAACATTAGCCTGTGAGTCTAGTATGTTTGTAAACTTCCTGTACCTATCAGATCGTGATCAACATTAGCCTGTGAGTCTAGTATGTTTGTACACTTCCTGTACCTACCAGATTGTGATCAGCATTAGCCTGTGAGTCCATGTGTTAACACTTCCTATACCTACCTGATCGTGATCAACATTAGCCTGTGAGTCTATGTTTGTACACCTACCTAACTGATCATGATCAACATTAGCCTGTGAGTCTAGTATGTTTGTACACTTCCTGTACCTACCAGATCATGATCAACATTAGCCTGTGAGTCCATGTGTTAACACTTCCTATACCTACCTGATCGTGATCAACATTAGCCTGTGAGTCTATGTTTGTACACTAACTTACTGATCATGATCAACATTAGCCTGTGAGTCTAGTATGTTTGTACACTTCCTGTACCTAACCAGATCGTGATCAACATTAGCCTGTGAGTCCATGTGTTAACACTTCCTATACCTACCTGATCATGATCAACATTAGCCTGTGAGTCTATGTTTGTACACTTTCTATACCTACCTGATCATGATCAACATTAGCCTGTGAGTCTATGTTTGTACACTTCCTATACCTACCTGATCATGATCAACTTTAGCCTGAGAGTCTATGTTTGAAAACTTCCTATACCTACCTGATCATGATCAACATTAGCCTGAGAGTCTATGTTTGTACACTTCCTATACCTACCTGATCATGATCAACATTAGCCTGTGAGTCTATGTTTGTACACTTCCTATACCTACCTGATCGTGATCAACATTAGCCTGTGAGTCTATGTTTGTACACTTCCTATACCTTCTGATCATGATCAACATTAGCCTGAGAGTCTATGTGTGTACACTTCCTATACCTACCAGATCGTGACCAACATTAGCCTGAGAGTCTATGTGTGTACACTTCCTATACCTACCTGATCGTGATCAACATTAGCCTGTGAGTCTATGTTTGTATACTTCCTATACCTACCTGATCATGATCAACATTAGCCTGTGAGTCTATGTGTGTACACTTCCTATACCTACCTGATCATGATCAACATTAGCCTGTGAGTCTATGTGTGTACACTTCCTATACCTACCTGATCATGATCAACATTAGCCTGTGAGTCTATGTGTGTACACTTCCTATACCTACCTGATCGTGATCAACATTAGCCTGTGAGTCTATGTTTGTACACTTCCATAAGTAATCACGTAGATGATCTATTCTTTGTTCATCTAAATCTTGGAATTTCTGTGTAAAACAGATTTTGATTAAAATCAAAACATTTATTATGATAATTATTGAAAGATAAGTAAACACACTTTGGACAGGAATTCGTTTATTTTTTGTTTCGTTTTGCTCGTCTTTTTCTTCATTTATTTATTTTTGTTATACTCTCTAATTGCCATCCATTTAATCATAAAAAAAACATAATTGTATTTGCATATTCATAAATAGTTTGATTTGAGCAAAAACTATTTTTGCACAGTAAGTGTTAATTAATCAAGTTAAAAAAAAACTAGTTTGGAGAAGGGAAAGCAACCTTTAACTAGACCAAACAATGGTATACAGATAGCTGACATGATCGATATATACACGTAATACATTTCCTAAATCTTTAGAATTATCTGAATTGAATTGTATGTTATTTACACATGTAATTAATGTGAAAAAATGCAGTAAGTGATCAGGAAAATGTTAAACTCACTTTACATAAACCAGACATTTCTTTTTCCCAAATTGACATCTCCTCTTGGACTTGCTTCACAAGATTTTTATATAACGTATCTGAAAAGGAAACATCATTCATTCACTTAAAAGTAAATTATTATAGTCTTTCAAAATGTTCCTTTGGCCTCATCTTACGGTCTTTATATTTTACAACTTGTTCGCTAATTTTTACGGTGATGTTGTTTATAAAGAACGTAAATTTAGATACGATCCATGTAAACTTATTGATCCTTTGAATAAACTTATTCCCAAACGTTATCAAATTAACACAGTAGTAAAATCTTTAAATATTGATTTTTTCGGTACTAAGTAACATTGATTTGTTTTTGAGAAAGTTAAACATGATAACCAAATATATGTTGATATATATGTACAGTCAAGCTAACTAATGCTCCTGCATCCTGTCAATATTGTTAAATTGTATTTTGGCATTGCACAAGGTCATGCGTTTCGCAGACTGTTTATGACGTCTTTACACTAAATCCGTTCGATGTGCACTAATTGATACTTTCGTCTGGAAGAACATTATTTATGATACATGTAGTTGTAATTGGCTTTGAACTTGCTTTCAGTAACTGTGAGTACTCTAATTTCGGTGTTTTGTGTCTATTGAATTTTTCACAGTTTGTTCTTATGTTGTGCTGTAATATCACTGTCCCAGGTTATTCCCGCCAAATTCTTGATGTGCCTGTCCCAAGTCAGGAGCTTGTAGTTCAGTGGTTGTCGTTGGTTCATGTCTTTCATATTTGTTTTTCGTACATTGTTTTGCTATAAATTAGGCCGTTAGTTTTCTCGTTTGAATTGATTCACATTTTTCATGTCAGGGCCTTTTATTATATAGCTGACTATATGACTATGGTGGTATGGGTATTTCTCATTGTTGGAGACCGTATGGTGGCCTATAATTGCAAACTTTAAGTATTTGATTCAAAACTGTTCCAAACAAATGAACATGATATGTAAATTATAAAACTTTTGAAACGGCCTTGGTGCATGATAGCATGCTCGCCATGGGTGATTGAGATCGTGACTTTCAAAAAATGGTTTTCTGTCCTTCCTGACTTCGCATGCAACATTTAAGATTTTGAATATTTTGAAGTTTATTTTGAAGATATTACTGTAACCTAGTATGTTAGAGCGTTAAAAACCCGTCGCAATCTAATTATTAGTTTCAATTGTATATATCAAAAGTATACGATATATTTACGTTATTTACCACTGTGAAGTAAGTACATACAAATGCGCTAGTTTAATTGTAATTTCTTACTTTTGTAAGAACTTTAATAACATGACATTGAATCTTAAAGAATCTTAAAAATATTTCATGTGCTAAAACTTATAAAAACAAGGAGATGTGTATGATTGCTAATGAGACAACTATCCACCAAAGTTCAAATGAAGTGGATGTAAGCAATTAAAGGCAACCGTACGGCCTTCAACAATGAGAAAACCCATACCGTATGGTCGGCTATAAAAGACTAAAATTGTGTATTTTTAAATGCAAAACATTTATTTTGAAAGATGCACATATATTTGTTTACAAACACAGCATGCCAACAGTACATGTTCCGGATGTTTCTATTTAGATTTTTAAGAATAAATCATTCAAAGACATGTCATATTTTATTACATGGAATAGAAATTTCCCTCTTTTTTTACCAGGATGTATAAAACAAATACCTGTTTTCTCTAACTCATCCCTTGCTTTGTCAGCTTTTACTCTGGTCTAAAAGAATATAAAAATAGACATTTAACTTCTTTAACGTCTGTTCTATGTTATTAAGTAACTAATTCATTTCATTGTTTTGGTGTTCGATAGAGCAGATTTAAAAAAACAAGTAATTTGAAGATGACATAAAATTAGTATAAACATATTATATTAAAAAGACAAGCAACCAGCAAAACTGATTCAGTCAATATATTCAGAAAACCCGTTTGAAACACTTTTCAAAAGACGAGTCTGGGGTTTCCCATGATTATCTCAATAAATTTGTTCTGTGGGATATTTTCTCAGTAAAAACAACATAAATCATACCTTCAGCATAAAAATTATGACACTTACAACGATATGTGCTACCGAATTTACGGAGTTGAAATCCCAATGAGACATGCGGACAAGCCATTTGGTATTGAGTTAAAAGTTTATAAGCAGCACAACTGTAACAATGGACACTTTTAAGAAGCATACCAACTCTTGACACAAATATATTTTTATAATAAATAATCAGCTTTAACGTGTATCTGCTACGAAGGCTGAAAGCGAGGCAAAAATAATGTCATTTCTTGAATTTACCCAGGTCAAAAAGTAAGATTCCGAATAATTGGAAAAAAACATAGGATATAATGTAATTACGGATTATTAAATAATAAATCGAAATACTAATTTCAATATTATCATCATATTGACTGATAACCTTCATGTATCTGTAATTCCTTGCATGACCGTAGTTCTATTTAGGTTAAAGGTATTTCAAACGTAACAAACCCTTCTCATGATATGAAACAACCCACTTATAGATTATATACCAAATTGATGGAGAGCTTACAACCGAGCAAAACAAATATATTTTCAAAGTTTTTTTTACATTATCCACTGCCAGAAAGTAGCTAAGTCTAAAAGTAGGTCACCCAGAACAAAACTCATTTGTGACGTACAATGACTTTTATAAAATTAAATACAATATCCCCTCAATATATGTAGAGGAAGAAACTGTTATCTTCATTAAATTTGATTTAAAATTATTCGAGTGCACCTTACCTTTTCCATTTCTTTAGGCGTGATGCCGTCACTGTGTTTCTCGTTGTACTTTAATGCGGCATCAGCACTGCTGTTTTCATTAAACTTGTTATCATATACTTTGTATTGCTTTGAAAAAAAGTAATATAAATCTAGATTATTAAAAAGTTATAAAGGAAACACAGTAAATAATTACATTTCTTTTTATTTCCAATAAAAAAATCTTCGAAATATTATATCATGATTAAAAAATTATTAAATTACTAAATTATATATATTACGGACCCTTTGCAATTATAACAAAATCTGAAAGAGATATAGAATAAAGGATACCAAATGAATTGTTCCTTGTTCTACCTCAAGAGTTGATTGATCGTCGTCATACATCAATCACATTTTGTACTTTGTGATAAAACATAGAGTCTTCCGACGTAAATATTTTCCTAGAAGATATGTAATTTAAATTATAATGAAAGATACAAGTTTCTATCAAAATCAATCATGAACGTTTTCAATCTAATACATTTATGAACCAAAACTAGCTTAATCAACATCGTTATAACATAAATACTACAAAAGTTGTAATTTGATATAAAGTTACTGTATTGATACCGAATTACTCACAGTGTTAACCTTAGCGTATGTATTTTTGGCAGCACTATGCAGCTTTGATACTTTGTCCTCCCACTGCAAAAAAAATCATATGCATTGAAATTTGATAGTCTTTTTGTTAATGGTTTTTTTTGTGCTCAGTACCGATCTGATGAGTGAAGCTGTTTCCAAATGAATTTTACAGTTCATTATTTAATTTAACAAGTTTGTTGCATTGTTACACCACAAGTTAGGGGGATAGTTGAGCGCCCACAAACATGTTTATCCCCGCCACATTCTTTAAGTGTCTGTCTCATTTCAGAAACATGTATTACAGTGTTCGTCATAATGTTTTCTCGTTTTATTGTTTCAGTATAGATCGCACCGTTGTTTTACTCTTTTGAATTGTTTCACATTTTGTCAACCATTGACCTTTTATAGTTTACTATACGGTATGGGATTTGCTCATTATTGATGGCCGTATGATGACCTTTAATTAGCTTTATATCCTTGCCTTTGATCTTTTGTGGATAGTTGGTTATTTGGCAATCATATCACTTCTCCTTTTTTATATAGTGACTAAGTGCTACAAATAACTAATTTTTGCAACCCGTCAACAAAATACATCATATACTAAGCTTTAACAATTTCTTGTAATATAGATTGATTGATTGATTGATTGATTGATTGATTGATTGATTGATTGATTGATTGATTGAAGTTTGCTTGATGTCCAGTGACACTTTAATCATAGATGTTTTACATATATAAAATATAAAAAGGAAATTAGTTTTCACAAGACTTATCATTGCAAATTGAATATAAACAAAAAACGAACATTCTGAATAAAGGTATTAATTTTATCATTATACTCCACGCTACCAGCTATAGCTACGGTAAATCAATTTACCGACCTCATTACAAAACCTCTAAATAAACAACAAAACTAGCATTTGACCTCTCTCGTTTAAGCCTTGGAAATGAAAAGAAAAAAACTCGTAAATAAAAGCTTAATCTTACTTCTTTTGTGACTTTCTTTTGTTCTGTATTAAATGTAGATATTTCATTAGCTATATTAAGAAAGTGTTTAGCTGCCACGTCATGATGATGTGCTATTCTTTCCGTTTGCTGTTTCATTTCTTTCCAAGCCATTTCTAATCCCCTGTATGTATAGAATTAAATAAAAATATCTGGACAAAATTTGAAGAAGAAAAATACATATTATCTTTTTAGCAAATATTCGTACAAATACCTGTACTAAAGACATCGATGGGTCAAAACACTCCATTTTATATTTAATTTTATTTAAACTCGTTTAACTTCAAAACTCTTTTTTGAGAGCATATATATATATATACGCGAGAGCGTAAAAAAAAAGAGTTTTGAAGCAAAACTGTCATAAGAATGCTCTTTCTAGTATTTTTTTGTTTTTTGTAAGAAAAGTGTTAAACGAGTTTATATATAGCGCAACAACCTTTTTACGAATAAAATGAAATGTGGATCACGGGAACATATCAACACAAGTTAACCAATCATACAATGGATGAAGATGGAGATGAAGAACAGCAATACAAGCGCTGTTCCTTTGCTTTTTGTGTGATTTTTGCTGTACTTGTTCTGATTAGGTGTCATGGATTGATACCCCATATCCTTTGTGTTTCTATCATAATAGAGATAATCATAGTGGACAAGCGCACACATCGTACCCATGACAAGGTCCAAATTGCCGCAAGCATTTTCAACCTTTGAATGAACAAAACTGAGCCTAAATGACTACGTATTAAATATTTCTTCCTATTCTACAAAACTCTAGAGTTATATCTCGTTGCAATTTGAAACAAACTAGAAATTCTCAATAGAAAAAAAAAAGAACATAAGGAGAAACCGTTCACCACTGATAAGATTCTTAAGAAGCGTTTTTAACATAAGATCGTTCACTTTGTGACGCTAGATTTGTTTGTCGCTGTTGACAATGAAGGCATACCCTTTCGCCGATCTATCTAACATACCTTTCTAAATTAGGCGATACCGCAATAAACAATATGTATTTGTCTTTTCATCAAAACTTATTGCTGAATTTTATCCATTATAGCTATTCATGATTTGTAAATTATGAATAGAAATGTAAACAAATATATAAAATTATGCCATTTCAGTTGCATTACCCTAAATCTTCTTTGTTGTCTTGTTTGTTAAGTTTCTGTAATTCTTTTACATACTGAGCTTCAATTTTTGATCTGAAATAAAACAAAACAGAAATAGAACTTTGACGAATAGGATGATAACGATAAAGATGAAATAAAAAAACTAATAATAGAGAAACTGTTCAAGAAAATTAATTTTGTGGCAATATTGTTGGCGTCTTTGTTAGATTCATTTGTATGTTTGTTTGATACTTTTAGTCAGTGGTGTTGTATGGTATCACACTTTTGCCTGCTGGATCGCAATTATTGTCACATTAACCTATTATGTCTGTTTGCGTTGCTCACCCAATTTTGTCTATATAACGAAACTATAAACAACTGTCATACAAGTGGGAGGTTTAGCTAGCTACAAAACCAGGTTTAACCCATCGTTTTCTTCGGAAAATGTCTGTACCAAGTCAGGAATATGGCAGTTGTTCTCACTTGTTCCGTTAGATTTTGTCAGTTTTTATGGATTTCCCCCTTTTGAATTTGCCTTGAAGTTCGGTATTTTTGCCATTCTTTTTTATGATTATTACGCCATTTTTGTTGGATTACGTCTGCAATCAATCCCATTTAGTTGACGGTCCGAGTCTTAGGCAACAACGTTTCGCAATCGCAATCAACCTTTCCCGGATATTTTGAACTTTTACTAGTATTGTATTATAGAAGGGGGAAAATGGTACTGTCCGCGTCGCCAGTAAATGAGCATTTACAACCGTCAATACACTTGTTGACGGAGGCAAGTCTAAATCTAAATACAATACTTTTATATCTTGAATGTAAGAAGGACTAACATCTTTCTTTATCAAATTTATGAAATCAATCGTATTATTCACATAAATATAACCTGTAAATCAACACTTAGTAAAAAAAAAATAAGACAAATTTGATATCTTTGGCAGTACCTCTGTCTTAAGTAGTCATCTACTTCTTTACACAGCTTTCTACCATCCCTCATACGATTACTTAATACATCAAATCCTGAGGTACTGTTTATATCCTCAACCTAATTAAATAATATAAAAAGACATAAAAACTTGACAATAAGAGGGCATACCTACTACATCTACTACATGTACCTTGGCCTTCGAACAAAAAATATATTGGAATGAGAGTGTCTCTTTACATCTAAGACATCAGAAAGGCCCAGACATTTGTCACAAGTCAACATCAAATTCAGAGGTACTGTTCATATCTTATTGTTATAGCTGACTATGCGGTATGGGTAATGTTCGTTGTTGTAGATCGTATGGTGACTTCAGTTATTTACATCTGCGTCATTTATAATTAGTCTCTGGTTTATAGTTGTTTTCATTGGCAATCATACCACATATCCTTATTGTTATATCAAATTTCAGGAAAGCACAATAAAAGCACCATCTACAAGATCACGTTTTATCACTACTCATAATATGTAAATTCTGAACGGGAGAGAAACCGTGTAAGTTCAGAAACGTACAATCGAAGATGTAGTGAACTACATAGAGCAGTGCATATTCATGTGCGAATTTTATATACCTTTCCATCTTTTTATTTAAACTACACAGCTACTTTTGCATGTGCACTTTTTTTGTATTATGAATTTGAAGTACTGAAACCGTACCTAAATAATGCAGTAATTTTTAAACATCGACTTTATTTTACTATTTCAATACCATAATTATACAGTATTTGATTTGTATATCAAATGATGGTAACAGTTTTATACTTAAAATGTGAAGTACTTTTTAGGTACAAACCTTTTTTCAAACCTGTCCAGTACTTCAAAATTATTACACTTTAAGTACTATATATGTATTGTAAGTTCACACTATGGAGGTACATAATTGGTACTTTAAATATGTAGTTTATTCTAGTACTGTAAAATAATGGTACTAAAATAGTAAAACTGTTAAGAAGTACAACATCACTACTACATTATTTGGTACATTTTCAGTAAATAATGTACTAAAAAAATACAAGTGCAAAAGTAGCTGCGTAAAATAATGTTTAAATTTCACTAACTGATTATAAGGCTCCGACAAAATTGCTACAGAATGACGAAACGAAATAATAGTCGGTGCTGTCATGAACATATCAAACGATTTTCATTCAGATTCAGAATTTGACTCACAGAATTTGAAATAAAATGTGCTAATATGTCTATATTTCTCTTTATATTAAGTATTAGTCAGAAGCAGCTACCATTTTATGGTTAATAAATTCAATTAATTAATTGTTTTCTTTTTTGTTTAACGTCCAGTTGTAAAAATTACATTCATATTCAGGACCAACTTCTAAGCAAGCTCATTGGCACTCATACCACATCTTCTTATTTATAAGTACCGAAGCTCATAAACTCGGCAATCCGGACTTCGGGAAATTTCGAAGAGCCGACAACCTTGCTTTGGAAGTTGATTCAGGAAGAGAACAAGTTAACAATAAGTCCAATAAGTATTTTTGCAAAGTGAGTCGCTAAAAGAAAGTCAGGCCAACTCTGGACCCCCTTAAATAGTTGTTGCAAAAAGTAAAATAACAAAAATACCGAACTCCAAGGAAAGTCCCTTATCAAATGGCAAAATCAAACACATCAAACGAATGGAAAACAACTGTCATATTCCTGATTTGGTACAGGCATTTCCGTATGTAGAAAATAGTGGATTAAGTGTTTTTCAATGTGCAGAGAATCTGAAACTCTCCCTATACGAGGTACCGGATTTAATATCCAATTCCAACCGGATGTAAACGAAAAGATAGTTTTATTGCTGTAAGTATAATAGGTATAATTAAACCAATTGTTTTAATGAAAAAGTTTATTTCCGACTTTGAAAACATTTCCTTGTCGACATCTGCTAGAACAAATACAATAAAAAGGAAAATGAAACAGGTAACGAAACATGTACGTTTACAAATGTGTCATGTTTGTATTTATTTTGATACTATCACGAGAAGAGCTTTGTTGTCGCGTTTGTTCTAATTTCAGTGAGTCCTTTGAAGTGGAAATTCGGAAATATTGGATTTACCTAAGCAGACCCTAGGCGATTCTGCCATTTTGCATTCAACATACTGATATTAATAATAAGCTTTTGCCATTTCAAAAAAAAAAAGAATTATATACAACGAAAGTTGTAAAGGCCATTATCATACAAACAATCAATACGCTCACATTGAGAGACAAAAGTGGTCATGTGTCGTGGGTATTAAAGAAATGCACTATTATGTAACAGTTCCGGTTTTACTTATAAAAGGGAGTACTTATAAAGTTGTAGTCGCTTTTAAAAACATTTTCATGTTTGAGATACTTGAATATAAGTGATCTCAAATGTTTCAGGTTTGATCAATCTTCGTACTACGAGGGTAAAATAACGACCTTGACTACCCATAAGGAAAAGAGGGTATGCCGATGCCAAGCCTTTTCCACTTTTCACTACTCTCAGCAAACATTTGATAGAATATCAAGGAACGTTACACTATCTTATACAAAATCATCTCAAATCATGTTTCGCTTATAATTGTCTGGTACATCATGTACATTTTTACTGGTACATCATGTACATTTTACTTGTACATGACTACTTTTATGTTTTTTTAAGTTTAAAGTAAAACATGAGTTTTACAAGGTCAGTACAATGTATGTCTTCCGATACTAAAATAAAAAACAATTTCCTCCTCGTTTGTCATTGAAAGTATCATGGTACGTTTATTAATATAATTTCATATTCCTTCCAACATGTGCAAGTTTTTCGATCCCGGAAATTAAAATAAATATTTATCAATTAGATGTTTTAAACGATTAGAAAAGGAAATGTAACTGAAACAAAAATATAACATATTATTATAAATTACCATTTAAAAAAGCATTTTTATAACATTCAAGGTTAAATAGATTAATAACATTGGCTAATATTGAAGTTTGGAGCAAAGTGAGTGTCATGGATGGATGCCCATATCCTTTGTTTTTTCTATTTTTCACAGACAATTATAAAAGAGAAAGGGGGGATTGGGGCTGAAATAATTTCAAACTAAGACCGTTATTCAAAGTCTAGTATATTCACAGTTACAGAGCTTTTTGTATGTACTTTGATATTATAATATTTTTATCTTCAACTTCGTACTTTATTTGGCCTTTTCAACTTTTTTGATTCAAGCGTCAATGATGAGTATTTTGTAGACAAAACGCGCGTCTGGCGTACAAAATTCCAATCCTGGTATCTATGATGAGTTTATTTAATACGTATTTTATAGGATGATCTATAATCGAACTATTATCTCTTAACTATTGCAATTTATACATATTGTTGGTACGTATTAGTACTTCAAAAATAGCATTTTTTTACATACATAAACCAAAATACTATTGGAAATAAAGCTGTGTTTTTGTATTTCAGATATAAGTTTTTAGATTGTTGGCAACCATCGAAAGAAAATAAAAGGATATGGAGTAAATGTACATGGGACAAAATCGCACACAATACATAGAAAACATAGAAAAGTATCAACGAACAGGGCTTTTATTCCTGTTTTTCATCTTGACAGTTGATGTAGGGTTTTCAACAATGAAAGAATCATTCATACTCTACAACAAGGTATACGAAAGCAAATTTTTACAAAATTATTTCAATTTCGAATTCTGTATCAAACTTGTCTATAGTTTTAATAGTTGAGAATTTAAACGAAGAATAGATATACCCTTTTCCTGAATAACGCAAAATATTTAAGATACAATTGTGTTTTATTGGGGGAGGGGGGGGGGGAGGGGGGGGGGGGGGTGAGGGAATTAGTGAGCCGACATAAGTTTATTCTATCCCAATTACCTCCAGCCAGGACTGTGGAAGGTAGACAAAATAAGTATGAACTCTTTTGGGGATCTACGTAAGTTTAGATTAATGAAAACTAGTTGAGTTGACCTCTTTAAAACAAAGGATATTACTATTATCACATAAAAACAAGAAAAAGAGCAAATGCCGATGACATACGATTTCTAGTTTTCTCCACTCTCAACAGTGAGTCAGACAAGACTATTTTTTTGCCGACTTCCTCCTTTTTGTATTTTTAAATAGCAAGACGTTACACTGAGACTATATACAATAATCTTGATTCAGTGCGTCCCTAACATGCTTCTGAATGATTGTCTGGTACACTGTACTTGTACATGACTACTTTTATATACTTTTATGTTTAAAGTAAAACTCGATTTTTACAAGGTCAGTACGTATATAAAGTCTGTCTTCCGATACTCAAAAAAAAAATTCCTCTTCGTTTGTCACTGAATGTGTGATACATTAATTAACATAATTTCATATTCCTTTCAAGTTTTTCAATCCGGGAAATCAAAATAACTATTTATCGATTAGATGTTCTAAATGATTACAACGGGAAATGTTACTTAACAAAAATACAAACTTATTATTTTTAATTAATTTTTTACCAGTTAAATAATTGCAGAAAGGGGTTTGAGAGGGGGCTTAAGTAAGTAAGATTAAAGAAAACTGATTGGGTTATCCTCTTTAAAATAAAGGATATATACTATATTACATTAAAAACAAGGAAAAGAGCATATACCTTCTTTTTTTTTTTGGCAAAAAAATAAAAAGATCAAGGAACGTTTACACTGAACTATAAAATCATCTTAAATCATGTTTTGCTTGTTATTGTCTGGTAATATAAAAATGAAAAGTTTTTATATGATTGCCAATGAGATAACTCTTCGCAGAGACCAAAGGACGTAGAAGTAAACAACTAAAGGTCACCGTACGGCCTTCAACAATGAGCAAAACACATAACACACAGCAAGCTATAAAAGGCCCCGAAATGACAAATGTAAATCAAACCAAACAAGAAAACTAACGGCCTGATTTACGTACAAAACAATTACATGAAAAACGTAAAACAAATATAAAATACAGCAACACACGACGACCACTGAATTACAGGCTACTGACTTGGGACAGCCACAAACAGAATGTAGCGGGGTTAAACATTTTTGCGGGCGGTGTGCACCTACTCATCCCACCTTTTCTTTCCCTTAAACCTGGGACAGTGGTGTAACAGCACAACATAAGAACAAACTATAAAGATCATTTGAAAAGGGCTTAACTCATCAGATCGATACAAAGCACGAAAACAAGAAACAAAAACAGAGACGACAAAAATTAAAGTACAGATCTGAGAGTACTCGCAGTATTCGAAAGCTAGTTCAGGGTCAAGGCAAATAAAAACTAATAACAAACAGGCATACTTGTACTTGACTGCGTTTGTTAATATCGAAGTCTGGAGAAACACACAATTATAAAAGAGAGAAAGGGGTGTGCGTGGGGTGGAGGGCTGAAATGATTTCAAACTAGTGCCGTTATTCAAAGTCGGTCAATTTATACTATGTTCACAGAATGTTCTGATACCCGTCTGTTGTATTTCTTAAAATGTCATTATCAAATTATTATCTCTTAACTATATCAATACTTAGTATAGTACTTTTAAAAAAATAGTAAATTTGATATTCCGGACATATTAATCCAAAATTCCATTAAAACAAAGTTGTGTTTTTGTACAATATATTATTAAATTATCGGCAACCTGCGATATAAAATTGCACTAAAAATGTAAGATTTCTAATACTGTATCAACATTGTCTCTAGTTGCAATGTATGTCACTGAATAACTTCTTCATTTAAGGAATGTAATTTTATTTTCTGAAAAATCATTGAAGATTATTATGGATTGTCTGTACTGTAATAAGTATCGATGGATGGTATAATATACTAGTCAACAAAAGAAACGATACAAGGCAATGTATTTTCCATATATAACAATTTTTGTTATTTCAAAAATCGTATTTTCAGCCAAAAATTCAAAAATCGATATCATAACATAAAACTTTAAACTTAAACATGGTCTGCATAAAATTTTGAATGCCTTTGCAGATATTTGAATACTTAATTCTCATCTTCGAAATTAAGTGCCGATTTTTGTCATCATTTTCCGTAAAATAAATTTGACCCCTGTGTTCAATAACACGATATTTTCTAACTTTCAAATTTGGTCAGATTCTTTTAACCATATGCATTTGCTGTGCAAATGAATGTTTTTCATTGGATAATTTAACAGTTTTTCCTATTTATTATATTTCATGATAAATCGGACTTCAAACTTGTGTATCGTTACTTTTGTTGACTAGTATACAAGTAATAAAATACTTCCATAGTTGTATCTACTCTCAGATTTTGACCCAATGAGTGAAACAAATTTAGGACACTAAGGTCTTTTTTTTTGACAAATCATTCAGTTTTCAAGTTAACGAGATACAATGTAGATACATATGATACAACAGAACAAGAGACTTGGAGTTTTGCTAATTGTTTTGTTATTAAAACGAATATAAAGAAATTTAATATTATAGATAAAAAAATTATAGGAACTTAAGTTTGATATTTATTTTATAATATAAACCATCCTTTATACAGTAGATGCATTATGTTTGTAGGGAATTCACCGGTCTCCTCGGTTTTTAAACTATTTATGTGTTTAGGGTCAACGATTTGACTACGTTTCATATATGTTTAAAAATTAAATATAGATCACAAGACTGGTATTATTTATCGTGTTCATTAGCTCGTATAGTACCCCGAAATAAATGAATGTAAAGAGAGTTTCTGCATTATTATATTTTCATGTACGCCCAAAGCTAAGACTTTGATGACACTAAAATGTATTAAAAAATGTGTTTGGGAGTGTAAACAATAAATATTTACTATGTTTACTGAACACTATATTACTCTTGATTTTAAAGTCAGAAATAAGAACTCCGAAACAGGAAGTTATTCCAACGAGATTGAATTTCAAACCATACCATTCATCAAATACATCGAATTACATATACTAAAAAAAGGGACTCTAATATATATATATGATGTCTATATATTTACTTGTTTTCTCATACTTACATGGTGATTATTTTAATATAGTTATTATATGCGAATGTCACAAATTGTACATTAGTTTAATGATAATAAAGTATTCTAATTAATATAATTATGTTGCCAGCAGTTGTATAGTTTCTCCAAAACATATTCATATGTTAATTTTTGTTAAAAATATCGGATTTGACAAGTAAATAGTTTCACCTATACATGCTATACTAAACAACTCTCAAATGCTTCAGTTTTTCTACTTTAGAATGCTATAAATTAAGTTCAACATATCAAATATTATTTTTAACTTATGTTTAAATCATTAAATAATAAATAAAATAATTTCTTACCCAAAAATTCTCCACGAAACTTTTATTGTGTCGACCCATATTTTTAAGTCTACCTTACTATCAATATAATCATCATTGTAAAAAGAAGGAAGTAAAATATTGCGTGCAGGTATACACAATGATAAATCTCAAGTGTTTACGAATGTGTATTACATGAATTAGGTGTTCTCGGAAGAAGCAGACCACAACCTGTCAAAGGAAAATGTATGTACTTACAATCGTCGATTGTTCAAAACTTGACACTGACAAGTATATGTTTGTATTTTATTACGTTTATGAAACATACAAGTATCGACCTCTCTTTTTCTGTCTTTTATTTTTTATCAATTTCAAGAGAAATGGGATTCCCTATTAAGTAATAAAGTTCTCTTTTAAGTTATGAAAATTGAAAAATACAAAGTTTACCAATTTTTAACATAATATGAAATGATTCAAGCCATCTGTTCTTTGCATGCTAGTATCTATGTTAGTTTTGCGTTAAGTGCGCGGTATTCTGATGGCATCTCTTTTACTCTTAGAACATATGGTTTATATAAAGATAAGGAGATGTGGTATAATTGAAAATGAGACAACTATCCACCAAAGTTCAAATGAAATGGATGTAAGCAATTATTACAGGCAATCGTACGGACTTTACCACCGTATAGTCGGCTATTAAAGGCACCGACATGAAAGATAGGAAACAATTCATTTATTTGAGAAAACTAACGGCCTAATTCAGAACAATACAATTTACGAAAAACCAATATGACCGACATGAATCAACGGCAACCACTGAACTACAGGCTCCTGACTTGGGACAGGCACATAAATACTGTAGGGGGGTTAAACATGTTTGATATTATAGCCACTTGATAAAGACCCAACGAAACACCACTAGGCAGATATCAGGCCCGTAGCCAGGATACTTCTGGGGAGGGTTATTTGTTGCCATGAGGTTCTGACTTTTATAGTCAAACTGTTGTCTCAATTTCAACGTAAATAGTTTTTAATAGTATTTTTCAGGGTTAGTCCGAACCCCTTACCCTGTATACGGGTGTGGATATATTCAACAATACTTGCAGATATTTATAAAAAAGAAGATGTGGTATGATTGCCAATGAGACAACTCTCCACAAGAGACCAAATGACACAGAAATTAACAACTATACGTCACCGTACGGCCTTCAACAATGAACAAAGCCCATACCGCACAGTCAGCTATAAAAGGCCCCGAAATGACAATGTAAAACAATTCAAACGAGAAAACTAACGGCCTAATTTATGTACAAAAGATGAACGAACAAAATTTTACATTCAAGACAAGAATTTTCTCAATATGCAAGTGCAATTTACCCACATAAAATTGCCGACTTTCAATCCTACTATACTAGGGATCTTCGAACATGTTTCTTGCCATTATAGAACACGTGCATTAGAATTTATCATGGAAGTCTTCCATCCTATATTTATGACAAACGGGACGACCTTTCATTTCTTAATTCACTCACTTATATTTCAGAGCAAACTATGAATGCTCTCTTGAATTTTGTTTTGACATTTTGGCACATTTGTACAGGTTTACTATGGACATGCCGCGATGCTTTCATCTTCAAGCCCTCTTTCTGGTGTTGCTGTATCTACTCCAAAGTTATAGAGACCTCGATATTGGTTGTCATTCAGTGGTTTCATTGGGTGCTGTCCGTCATATTTTTTTTCTGGTGTATTGTTTTTGCGTAAATTAGGCAGTCGGTTTTTTCGTTTGAATTGCTTACATTTTGACATGCCGGGACCTTTTAAAGCTTACTATACGGTATGGGTTTTGCTCATTGTTTTAGGACAAACGGTGATATATATATAGTTGCTTATAGACATCAACGTCATTTGATCACAGGTGAATTGTTGTCTAATGCACTAGCAAACATTACAAATCACCTTCTTTTTATATAAGTGTTTGTTTTGTGTCTTCGTTGACAGTTTACAAACAAAACATATATAACAAGAACCCTAAATCCAAGTTTGACAATCTAAGACTTAAACTTCCTGTCCGGGAAGCACTTGTTTCTTTACATTTGAAGTGTTTTATTTCGAACGGGGTACAAATGTCTCAACGAGATGTGTTTGGGGATTTTTTTTGTTTGCAAAGCAAATCAGACTTTATTTATTGACATAAACAATTCAAAAATCGTTTATTTAATTTTGGATTTTGTGGTTAGCATTTGGATCTTTGCGTCAGCTGTTTTAATACTCTTTGATTATTTGGCCTACCGTAACTTCGCGGTAAACATATGCTTGTATATATTAAATAGTCAACTGTCATACACATGTGATGTTTGGCTAGCTATAAAACCAGGTATAACCCACTATTTTTTTCTGAAAATGCCTGTACCAAGTCAGTTGTTTTCCAGTTGTTATGATGGTTTATATAGTCGAGCGTTTGGTTTTGTCAGTTTTTATGGATGGACTCCCCCTTATTATAACTCTCCTTAGAGTTCTGTATTTTTGTTATTATATTTGTTTAAACAATAGGATAGATAAATATTAAATTGCCTATTGTTTACTTTAGTTCTACAAGATGAAAGGAAAATCACTAAGAGAGGCGTAGATGACATTAAACTATTTTTTCTTTGATCAACATATCAAAATACATTAAAAAAAAGTGTTACTATACCTCTGGTAAATTTCTGTTTATGCATTTATGACTAATGACACTGACAAAAAAATATACTTCATCTTTTTAATGTAAACATGATACATTTGGTTTCTTGTATATCTTCAGCCAGTGACGTGGACTCGAAACCAAAAATATAATAAATCACATATACACATATAAAAGATATCGATTCCTTTGTTACTTATAATACTTACTTATTTGTTTGCTTTTTCGAGTGTGTGTTTACGTGTTACTGTATTAGAAAATGACTCTTTACTCTTTAAGAGTTATATGAAGAAGTCTTCAAACTCTTCTGCTACACTACAAAATTCCTATGTTTAATTTCAGTCTTGCTGGCTTGGCTAATACTGGAATTTACAGACAGATAGAAACTTGGGACCAAGAATATATTAACGAACTTTTCCTCTCGATAATCTCGATACAAATATTTTGTTTATATTGGGATAAGTTAATGCATCCGTCTTTAAAAACTGAAAGATCGTTCTTTAACCCTTGAGTATATATCATGGTAGTAGGTGTAGAAAATTTCACGGAGGCGTAAGGAACAGAGTAAAAAATGAAATTACCATTGAACTGACGACATTTCTACTACTTAAATGGGATTTGTTTTTTTAAAGTCGATTTTACAACATTTAGAAGTCGAACATTTAACATTCGAATTGAAAAATGCTCATTTTGTTTTACTATATTTTCCAAATAAGTTCCGTATAGGTACTTTTGTATTTCTTTCATTTTCAAATACTTTTCTACGATATTTTATAACACAGTATTGTTTACCCTTTCACCAATTTATTCATTACAGATGTCTTAGTATTTTTGATTGAATATATCATACAGGCCCTCAATAAATTAACTCGAAGTGTCCTTAAATGGTTTTCCAATCTATAACGGATCTGGCTTGTTCAATTATTTCCTGCTTAATTCCTTAAAAGAAAGAAAAAAAACATCTGTATTATTTTCTAACACAATTCCTCTGAAATGGAGATATCCGGGAATAATTTACCACTTAAAGATAAGGAGATGTGATATGATTGACAATGAGATAATTTCTACAAAGGACAAGGATGAAAACAACATCCGGGTCACCGCACGGCCGTCAACAATTGGCAAAATCTAAACAGTATTGTGAGTGAAAAGGCCCCTACATAACAAAATGTGAAACATTCCAAAAGAGAAAACTAATTTCCACATTTAAGCAAATAATATTAAATAAAAAAACAATACGGAAGAAGGCAACCCACAACATAAAGCACATAAAGAAGCAATTGAATAGTTTCATATTTTTCTCATGTCGGGGCCTTTTTTATAGCCCACAATAAGGAATGGGGTTTTCTCATTGTTGAAGGCTGTACAGTTGCCTATAATTGCTTACATCCACTTTATTTGAACATTGGTGGATAGTTGTCTCATTTGCAATCATACCTCATCTCCTTATTTTTATATATGTGTCTGATGGCTCATTTGCTTCCTAATTTCAAACATTAGTGTGACATCATAATATAAGAACACAGTAAGAATCGGCTTGACTCATCAGAAAAGACACAGGGAACTTATCTGGAATTGTTAAAGGCGCTAATTCAACACACAATTAAAACTGATAGATAAACCATGTTTTAAAAAAATATCAATTGACACACCTCATACGAATTTGGTATAATGACGTCAGTCTGAGAAGGTACGCTTATGTGCATGTGCCAATTTTATGAATGACTGGTTACACGCGCTTCCGATCGATAGTGATTTGTGTGGTAAATATTTGTGACAACATTCATATCTGATGTAAACAACATGTCGGTTAAAGAGGATAGGAATGTATTATATCGTCAAGCGATAAACGTCTGTTTTTCGCTACCGTTAGTGTCAAAGAGAGACGAAAGATACCAGAGGGACAGTCAAACTCATAGATCGAAAACAAACTGACAACGCCATGGCCAAAAATAAAAAGACAAACAGACAAATAATAGTACAGATGACACAACATAGAAAACTAAAGACTAAGCAACACGAACCCCACCAAAAACTGGGGGTGATCTCAGGTGCTCCGGAAGATTAAGCAGATCCTGCTACACATGTGGCACCCGTCGTGTTGCTTATGTTATTACAAATCCGGTAAATAGTCTAATTCGGTAGGTCACATTCGTAAAAAGGGAAGGGTATTGTAGTTACGACATAGGGAACATATCCGATATCATCTGTGAAACGGTTATTCCATAACGGTCAACCAACTCGTGATGGCGTCCGTAAAATTTACGAAGGGATGACTTCAACTTCACCATTTGGAACTCTTGGTTTAATAGCTTCCTTGTGAGCAGCAATCCTCTATCAAGGAAATCATGATAGGAAATACAAGCCCTGGAATATCGTATCAATTGGGAGATATACACTCCGTATGCAGGCGCTGCTGGAATGTTGCTACATAGAAAGTTCACAGTTGGGAAACTGAAATCATCTCTTTTGTCTTAAAGTTTTGTTTTCAACCGACCCTCATTGTCATTTATGTCAAATGAGTCTTAATTTTTTATCGTCATTCGTCAAATCTCATTTTTTTTTGTAGCTACCGTAACTCGTTAGTGTCAAATGGAGTAAAATGTTTATCGTTAACGTTGTTTTCACAAATATTTTACCGTCATTCGTCATGTGGTGTACCCCATTCATACCCTCGTTAAAGTATAAACATGAAAACATTTTAAATTTATTATACTTCATGTCAAAACGCCAGATTTGATTGGTTAATACGAGGGAGACAATTTACTTTATTATACTTCACGTAAAAATGCAATATTTTGATTGGCTTATACGAGGGTGTTAATTTTCTCTATTCTATGGTAAATACTCTATTACCCTTCATGGAGACGCTTGATCAAGTGTGCGCTTTATTAAATACGACTCTATTCTATGGCAAATACTCTATTACCCTTCAGGGAGACGCTTGATCAAGTGTGCGCTTTATTAAATACGGATGGTTGTTATGTACAAGACGTAAATAGTTTATTACTTTGAATTTGAAATTTAATCGACAGTAATAAGAGAACCATCAGTATAATAAATTAAATAACACATATCTGAGAGGGTGATAGAGCAGATTGTTACCCCTCGAAAAGACATTGTCAACCTTGGCTTCGCCTCAGTTGACAATGTTTTCTCGGGGTAACAATCTGCTCTATCACTCTCTCAGCTATGTGTTATTTATATACTATCCCATGGCAAATACTCTATAACACTTAAAGGAGACGCTTGCTCAAATGTGCGCTTTAATAAATACGGATGATTGTTATGTACAAGACGACATAGTTTATTACTTTGAATTTGAAATTTAATAGACAGTAATAACAGAACATTCAGTATAATAAATTAGATAACACATATCTGAGAGAGTGATAGAGCAGATTGTTACCACTCGAAAAGACATTGTCAATCTTGGCTTCGCCTCAGTTGACAATGTTTTCTCGGGGTAACAATCACCAAGGTTGACAATGTCTTTTCGAGTGGTAACAATCTGCTCTATCACCCTCTCAGCTATGTGTTATTTATATAATCATGTACATAAAAGTTTGTAAGTGAATTGGTCTGTATTACAATTCTTTTTATAAATTTTAATTTTTCCAGTTAACATGTCAATGAAATGTCAGGGAAAATGTGTTAATCCTAAATCAGATAAAGAACTGTTGTAAAGACAGGATGCTTCTCGTTTCCTGGACATTTCAAAGTATCGAGCACAATTTGACTGTGATTTCCGTGTTCATTGTAAAACTTAGGGAGCTACCATTTGATTTTTATGGGGGGTTAGGATGAAATTTGAAAAAAATAGGCAGGACAGGAGTTTTGAGTAAAAAAAAGGCAGGATGAGACACTTGCAAAAAAAAAAGTCAGGACGACAATCTAGGTAAAAAAAAGTCAAGATAAACTAAAAATAAAAAAGGCAGGACAGAGATTACAGCTAAAAAAAAATGCAGGACAATTTTTTTTTATCCTAGCCCCCCCCCCCCCCCCCCTAAAAATCAAATGGTAGCTCCCTTATAGGTTGATAGACTATATTTAAATGTCTATTTTCCTAAACTTTTGAGTGTGTCGGTTTGCTAAATCATTTAATAGTATAAAATAAGGAGATGTGGTATAATTGCCAATGAGACAATTTTCCACCAAAGTTCAAATGAAGTGGATGTAAGAAATCATAGGTAACCGTACGGCCTTCAACAATGAGAAAACACATACTGTATAGTCGGCTATAAAAGGCCCCGACATGAAAAATATGAAACAATTTAATTGGGAAAACTAACGGCCTAATTTATAACAAAACAATTTACGAAAAACAAATATGACAGACATGAACCAACGACAACACTGAACTACAGGCTCCTGACTTGGGACAGACACATACAGAAAGTGGCGGGGTTAAACATGTTTGTGAGCACTCAATCCTCCTAACCCGGGACAGTGGTGTTACAGCACAACATAAGAACAAACTATAAAAATCAGTTGAAAAGGGCTCAACTCAACGGATCGATACAAAGCATAAAAAAAACACCCAACAAAAACACAGACCGGACGTGGTAGGGTATTTATGCATCTCTAACAACAAAAAAGACACAAAGTACAGATCTGAGCATGAGTCTTATATTTCCAAAATGTAAAAACCAAAACTTGTATATTGGTTAATAAACGGTCTAAATGACGGAAATACAACCAATGACGTGGCGTTATTATCATTATTTTTGGAATGGGAACAGCGATATTACCAATTTTCCTCTATAGTCTGAAACGGCGTATTATGTGTTTTATACATTTTGCAATCAAACATATCAAAAAAGAGAAACTAAAAAGTAAAATAACAAAAATACCGAACTCCTAGGGAAATTCAAAACGGAAAGCCCTTTATCAAATGGCAAAATCAAAAGCTCAAACACATCAAACGAATGGAAAACAACTGTCATATTCCTTACTTTGTACAGGCATTTCCTTACGTAAAAATGGTGGATTAAACCTGGTTTTATAGCTAGCTAAACCTCTCACTTGTATGATAGTCGCATAGAATTCCATTATATTGACAACAAACAGACATAATAGGTAAAAATGTCAAAAATAGGGGTACAGCAGTCAACATTCTGTTATAATCTTAATCACTGTAAAAAAAATTGAGTTAATACATGAACATGCCCGTATGACATTTCAACAAACAAGAAAAGGCAAGTTAAGAAATACAAACTATGCATCGTACAATAACAAATTACTGAGAATCATATGTATTGTAAAACATGCAACAAAAGTATATGCCCCTTAACACTTTGAAAACTTTATATAAAAATAAGATGTGGTATGATTGCCAATGGGACAACTCTCCACAACGACCAAATGACACAGAAATTAACAACTATAGGTCACCGTACGACTTTCAACAATGAACAAAGCCCATACCGCATAGTCAGCTTTAAACGGCCATATGTTTACTTTATCCTTGCCGCTGAATATATAATCATGTATTACGTGGGGAACAAAGAATGCGATATGAAAATTCAGGCTCTATTAATACAGAGTAGACTTTTTACCCCAACATTGACCACGGACAAGGTTTAAATTACGTGCATAGTGTATGGAACCCTCCAAACACGCGGAATTGTTTTAAACGTTTCGAAGAAGGCTTCAACATAGCTGGGTATTTAAAAATCCTGCACATGCACAACCTTCTCGAACGCCTTCTCGGTATTGGTCTCATTGCCAGACAATATAAAAATAAGAGGATGTGACGGTGACGATGCGCACGATGTTGGTACGAATTCCAATTTGCTATAGATTAGTATGAACATAAATACGTAGACTGGTCAGTTCGATAAAAATATAATGATTTTTGGTTGAATTTATTACATTAGACTT